ATTTCTGGAAAGAAGTCGTACCTAAAGACAGACGTCGCACCGTCCTTGAAAGTAATCATGATGATATTACGGCTGGTCACACGGGTATTTTCAAAACTTATGAGCGAATTAAGAACAAGTATTACTGGCCCAAAATGCGGGCCGACGTTACTCGTTACATCCGTCGTTGCCCAACTTGTCTAGCAAATAAGTCGGTCCTACGTCCTCCGCCTGGACTTCTAGGTAAGCATCCCACCCCAGAAAAACCATGGTCACTGGTGAGCATTGACCTCTTCGGTCCCTTACCGCGATCCTCCCAGGGTTATCGTTTTGTGTTTGTCGTATTAGACACTTTCAGTAAACTTCCTCTTTTCTTTCCATTGCGAACGGCTACTGCGGCTGCAGTATGTAAGATTATGGAAGAACAAATTTTTCTCATGTATGGTTGTCCACGGCATGTTATTTGTGATAACGGGGTCCAATTCCGCAGTCACCTTTTCACTAAGTTATGCGAGTCCTATAAGGTAGAAATAATCTTCACGCCTGCCTATCATCCCCAAGCTAACCCAGTAGAACGAGTGAACGGTGTTCTAAAAACTATGTTATGTTGTTACATAGAAGACAACCATACGAACTGGGATAAACTGTTACCAAAAGTTGGCTGCGCGATTCGCTCATCTGTGCACGAGACTACTGGTCTCACCCCTTATTTCATTAATTTTTCTCGGGAGTACATTGGATCCGGTCACCTTCATACATTGCCTGAATTGGCAACTCAAACCTCACAAGATTTGTTATCCCGGTCTGAAGAAATGTCTAAGGTATACCAAGACGTCCAAAAACGTTTGAATCGCGCTCATAATTCATCTAAGTCCCGCTACGATCTCCGCCGCCGCCCAGTGAACTACTCACCCGGCGATATCGTTTATCGGAAAAATCATTTTCTTTCTAATGCTGCTAATCAGTTCACGTCCAAATTGGCTCCAAAGTTTGGTGGTCCATTCACAGTCAAACGAAAATTATCCCCAGTGACGTACGAGCTGGAGGATGAGAACAAGGTTCCGAAGGGAACTTGGCACGTCAAAGATTTGAAGGCGAAACCACCAGACTCAGATAGCGAGTCGGACTAAACTATTCTTGTCATTGTGAAGTAAAACCACACAAGTGTGTTTTTCATTTAGTTTCTTATCGTAAGAAATTTACGGTTACCAATACACCATACGTTATCATTCTCTATCGCTACCGCGGACTATATAAAAATATAGAGATATATTGATTTTTTTTTTAAGGAGAATTACTAGGTAATTCTCCTGGGGGGGAAAACGGGGAGCTGTTACAGTTAAATTTTCAACATAGTGATCTTGTCTCATTTAGTATAAACTCACATCGAAATTATCACTACAGAGTAAGGTTAGAATTATTGTTTTCGATCATCAACGGAAGAATGAATTATTTAGGTGAAGCATAAGTTAAAGACTCACCTGACTCTTGTTATTTACATCGATCGCACTAACCCTTCACTCTAATTGTCCGTTCATTTGGTTGCTGGATTAAAATTCGTAGAGTTATTCATTGTTTCTATTATCAATTTTTATTCCTTCATTAGTAATAAATCAATAAATCAATGTCACATGAGTGACGGATTGTGGACAGTTTTGACAATCGATTGTCATCGATCTCGGCATTCTCACCTTGGGAATTAGGTGCCTGAGTCAGGGGCGTATCTATGGATTTTCCTCTAATTATAAGTATAATTGACGAATTTTCCTCATTTAACACTCTACATTCTTCTGGAAGAGCTTGAAGGAGTTCAAACTCTAGTCTCTTAACCTCTTCGTAAGGATAATTACTTCAAATGTACTCAGAAAATCACCCATTATTTCATTTAGGACTGAGACGACTATGTTTTCCAATTTGGCGCGAAATGCTTCGTTTTGGTGGGAATAATTTCGGGGGACGATCGGCTAGGGGCTTCTGGTAAAGAGACTGAGGTGTGTAGATCTATGGTAGCCATTTTTTTTTTGAGAGTGAAAATTGTTTTCGACATATTCCACTTAATTATTGTGGGTTCACATTTTCGAAAATATAGCCACTGGAGGACGATATTATCGTACGTTGCTGTAAAGGGAGTAGTTCCTGGAAATATCGTTTTGTTCCTCCTACGATTGATTCGGTTTAAGGCTGAAGGCACGCTGGATCAAAGCCTCTAGTACACTTTCAAAGCCACCTTACACCATCGTGAGTATTTCCTTTTTCATTGTTGTTACTTTTGTTTGTTCTTTTTTTTTTTATGTCCGTGATAATCAGTTGTCACATTCCAATAATCACACATTTCCCATCCGTAGGGCTTTCAAGTACCGGGTTCAAGTACCCCTTCTCAAGCGTCCTAGAGGAATCTGGACTGCGTCAGTACCTCACATCAATTGAGGATATTCTCTTCTACCTGGCCGGTATCTTTTGGATAGAAAAACCCCTTGTGAGAGAGTGAAAAATAAGGGCTTTACTAAGTGGCCAAATTCACCCTATGGGCAGCTTCGGACTTGTACAGCTAAGTGTATCTGGGGATTGGGTTTTCTCATTTATTATTAATTTTGTTGTTTGATGAGCGATAATCTCGGTTATAATAATTATTATTTTGTGTGCATTGCGTGTTTCCAATTATTATCTTAGTGCTTTCAAATAGGTAGCCTGAGGGCTGTATTATCAGACTGTAATTTACGACCAGGCGAACATTGATTCAAGGGAATTATGTATACAACTTAGGTAACCCAAGAGTGATCACCCTTGCGTTAAATCAACCAACCCATAATATGGTTATGTGTTAGGTAATTTATATCATAGTTCATAAACCAATCCTTTGGTGGACACACAGTATTATCTGAATATTCCCTGCATCTTTGTAAAGTCCATCTCCTACTGTGAAGGTTTACAATATCTATTGTTAATTAATCCTTCGTAAAAAGTGAATTAAAGGGACAGAAATCCAACAATTATTGTATATAGATTTTTTTTTTTCAACTATACAGAGAACCCACGGAAGCCCGCTAGTCAGCCGTGTATTAGTTGTCACTATATGTTTATTCATTTTCCAGCAATCATAGGGCACAACTGTTGCACGTTAAATCAAAAATTCTTGTGGATCTGATCGAAAAGAATATTACCGCCTTTACCTAGCCCAAATGAGGTTTGTAAATTAATGCCCAGTATACTACGTAACATCTTTTATTTATCAATAAAAATTCTCTGTTCTGCTAGGAATCGAACCTAGCAACGTTTTGGCGTTCTAGTTGCTAGTCAAGCGCTCAACCACTGCACTATTCTGCCGTTCTGCATTCAAATATCATCATGAAAGTCATCAAACTCTGCCATAAAAAATAGTCAATGGTTTTCCTTCTTCATCGTTTGAATATATCTGTTATGATGATGATGATTATTAATCAGCATTAGGCTGACCAAAATTGTTTGCTGGGAATTGATTGTTCACCTTAGGTTATTGTATTGTTGAAAATTCGAGGTAAAGATTGCGACAATAATACTTTTTTATGCGAATATTCATACACAGAAATCAATTTGGTTCCGCATGGGAACTATGTATGAAATCAATGGTATTTTTTCAGGCATTCACATAATTTTCAATGCACGTCATCACAAGAGTGGTCCCAGACATTCCGGTAATATGCAAGAAATAATCAATTTGAAATTGTTCTGAATGAGCTTTTCTTTCAATATAAAATATTTCTTCCACAGAGGGAAGTACAACGTATATGATTCCTGGATTGGTGTGTCAAATCTCATTTTTTCCCTTAAAATAACATAAATAATCTCAGGGTTTAGGTTGAGTATATGTGTTTTATTCCTGGATCAGTATTCTTATTTCATCATTATTGAAATTCTTTTGAAAAATGTAATACCTCCATTCCAGAATCGCTTTTTTATCATCTCATGGTTATTTTTAGTACTAGATATTCCGATTCCACAGTTGGTACCTTTCATTGCGTCTCACTACAAGGAATGACGTGGGATGACTGTTGACAGTTGTAGAAAAATTAAATTATATTGATGAAAGACCAGACTGCTGGACTGCCAAAATGCTAGGAATAATTAATAAGCATCAAAGTGTCAAAATCTTATGATTCCTTCAAGTAGGTAGGACGAGTAGGACAGGTTCCATTATGATTTTGAAATCATTCGGAGCCATATCTAGTAAGGTCATGAAGTTTATTGTCGCTTTATTTGTTAACGTCATTCTGTTCCCACCACCGTTACCAGAATGGAACAAATAAAACACAACTTTTGATTTGCTATCCATGGTTACATCGTTGAAAACATGAACGCTGTCAGACCAATCAGAATTGAAAGACAGCTCATGTTTTCGCGATAAGTACAGGGCTAGTTTTGTTAATAAGAACCCCACTTCATATTTTATGTTTAATGGAATGCGCTGTATATTTTGATATATATTTGGAATCAGGATGAATTGAGGAATTCAAATCTATCAAAATATGCGGTGCTTTCCATTTGAAAAAAATGTATTTCTCTGTATACCCTTCATATTTGAAGAGGAATTGCATCATTGTCAATATGAGTGAAATCTTAATGGGAAATTGTATAAAATCAGCTTTAATTTCTTTTGAATGAGTGGAAAACAAGAAAGATAAAGATGGGTTTACATTGATAATACTAGCCCTGCATACGTTGTCTCTAGCTTGTGATTGGTCAGATTATGCGTGATGAGTGAAATAGCAACATTCCTCCTATATTAGTCATATCCCAATGAGAACTACTGTCAGTACTGTCCTATCACCTATTGACTGCTCTGAAATGCACTGGGGCATCGAATATCAACTTGAAAGTTGATTTTCGATGACTGGGGTTTGATGTCCTGAAATTATAATCATAAACAGAGTCCAGTGCGCGTTTCAGAGCAACATATCGTACGGTGTGCTGTGTAGTCATGTTACTTTATCATACTTTTTCATTCGATTCTATCTATGTTCAAATTATTTTCATGGGAACAACAGGAACACCGACTCATTGGAAAATGTGGAGTTTATACATTCGTTGAGAAAAAGGTCCCACGTTACGAATCAAATAGACGATCTCAGTGATTCTGAGAAAGAGGAAGACACTAAAAACGGGATGGCCAATGCAGAAACTAAGAAGGAAGCAACAAAGGAGAATACCAGTGAGGTGAATTCATTTCTTTTTCTATATCACCAAGATCAGAAATGGCGTCGATAATGTTATTTGAATATTCAGATCAAATTTGAAACATTTTAGGTTACCTACGTTTTGAGGTTCACATCATTCAGTATGTCGAGTGATTGTAAGAATCTACAGGTAGATATTTTCTCATGGATCTGGTCCTTTTTCGTTCCAAGAATTTTCTTGTGGTGTGCTACTGGTAGATTTTGAGATGCAATATGAGTTCTGTTTTGTTTTTCTGCGAACGTTATCGACAAAACAGTCGTTTTTTTATCGTTTGCTAGCTTTAATTGAATTTTTTGTGTTCTTAATCACAAGTTTCCAAACATTCTCAGCAAACATTCAAATATGGGGCATTGATGGCCTTATATATTCTCTCCATAAATGATCCCATATGCGGGACTTTGAATATCAGTATACACTGCGGCCAGCAGCTGGTCCCAGTACTGGGAACCCAGCAATCATATTCAGTTCCCCTGCAAAAGGCCAGTACAACACAATCAACACATTGAATTTCCTATAGCAAGCCCAACATATATATCGATGATGGAACTGTAATGGCCGATTATCGACATTGGTTACATACTATCGAGGTAGGGGAAGGGGTAATGGTTTCAGGGGTCCAATGGATCTGAAAGTTCTGATAAGTAACTCCTCATTTTTGAATTTATCCCTTTCACCATATTATATCAAACAGACACAAACCAGATTTGAAGGAAACAATTTCATGAATGACACAATGATATCTTCTTGACCTCTCTCTTTTTCCATGATGAAACTTCTCAGAGTAACTCCTTAATGGCTGGTAGGTATCTACAACAAACTAGAGAAAAACGAAACAGACGCTATCACTAGAGTCACATATAGTAATGATCCATATGGTCAGCTGATTGTTGATGTAGACGTTCCCAGAACAACTACTAGGGGGACAAGTAGTGAACAGGATATTGGCCAGTAAAGGGCCACAACTCGTTAGTGGCGATCATCGAATTTATTACTATAACTATAACAGATGGCTACTCAGAATTGGGAAATCATCGGCCCATTACCAATACCCCGGCATCGTCACTTTCCAAGACTTGCCTGCAATAGGCCGGACTTCTCCCGGTATTTCAATGTTTGCTGGGTAACCTCTATAGCAACCTCAACTTTGAAATTTCAAATGGAACTACCCTACTCTCAACACATCATTTCAAAGCCCTTTCCTTTGCGAATACTCTGGTGCATCGTTTTTGAAAATCGGTTGAAAGGACCCCGCACTTTTAGTACGTAAAATGGTTCTCGGTGAAATTTTCTGAATTTTCAGTATGTTGTAGAATTAGATGAACTGATTGAACCTGCAGAATCGTAAAGTTCTTTGATGAACAGATTCTGAGATACAGGGCGTTGAACTTACAAATCGGTATTTTTCATTTAACTATTTTCTCGAAATTCAAAGATGCCAAGTACAATTTTTTTCGCTCATATCATCAACGTACCTCCATATTACTCAACATAATTCAGATGGTTCAGATAATGTAATTGTTTACAGAGTGAAACATATAAACATTTCAGTGATATCTGAAAATTCGATGTAGTAATGAAATATCGAAAAAATAATTTAGGCATGCAATATACTAATCTCATTCCATCATGAATCACAATTCATACATTTCATACAGGGTGATTTGAAAAATTGGTGACACCTAAGACCGATTTATTCATACACATCCTGTATATTCGAGTGAATTGTTAACCTTCCAAGATAGCTGATACCGTGTGAACATGATTTCGTTGAGATATATAGGGTGATCATGAAGATTTTCGATGATGAAAATGAAAAAAAATCGTGTTTTTTGAAATCAGCCTGTTATTCATGATTAACTCGGTGAAATTCCCTAATTATTTTTTGATATATTCATTATGCGCTCCTCAACGCTGTCTTGAAAATTCAGTCTCCTATCATGACGGGTGTCATAGTTATTAATTCAGGAACTTACCATTTGCATAAAGAGTTGAAGAGACTTGTTCACTTACATTCGCATAGTGGCCGATATTTTTCACAAATAGTGAAACGTGAGAATGTGGAGACGAAAATAAGTTGAGTATTCATATACAGGGTGAACATTAGAAATTCAATAACAATAGAAGATATATGAATTTAATAATATTAATATAATGTATAGATAGTAAGGCGAATTTCGTTGGTATACAAGCTCTGCCAAAATGAAATACGAACAATACCTAGGAGATGGGAGAATGATTCGGTCTTTCACGCTTCCATTTCTAATTGGGAGAGTTGAATCCTGGAATCGACAGATTTTTTCACATTTGTTTTCCACTCAGAATCAGGCGTTTCCATCAATTTCATATTATTTGCTTGCTATCAGTAATTATTATAATATCATTAGATTCATATTCATATCACATTCCAATGATATAATTCAATACGTATACCGGGTGGCTACGGAAGTATTGCCTACGGAATATCTCAGTTATTATATGAAGTAGGTTTGTGAAATTTGGAGCGTCGATATAATGACATAAGAGCTAGAATTTGAGCATATTGATATGTCGAAATTAACTTCCGGTCTGACCGGAAGTAACATCAACTTTCTTATTTTGAATGGAAACCATATTCTTTTTCTTTTCGCTTTATTCAGCATTCAATTCCCTTTCTAATGACATATCACAAGTTGGTATCTAACCAGAAACTAAATCAGAAAAAAATTATAATTGAAATTCACCGAGTGGGCCGTGGAAGCAAAATCATCTCCATCTCCTAGGTATTGTTCGTTTTTCATTTTGGCAGAGCTTGTATACCAACGAAATACGCCTAACTATCTATACATTATATTAATATTATTAAATTCATATATCTTCTATTGTTATTGAATTTCTAATGTTCAGTATATGAATAGTCAACTTATTTTCGTCTCCACATTCTCACGTTCCACTATTTGTGAAGAATATCGGCCACTATGCGAATGTAAGTGAACAAGTCTCTTCAACTCTTCATGCAAATGGTAAGTTCCTGAATTAATAACTATGACACCCGTCATGATAGGAAACTGAATTTTCAAGACAGCGTTGAGGAGCGAATGATGAATATATTTAAAAATAATGAGGGAATTTCACCGAGTTAATAACAGGGTGATTTAAAAAAACACGATTTTTTTTCATTTTCATCATCGAAAATCTTCATGATCACCCTATATATCTTAACAAAATCATGTTCATACGGTATCAGCTATCTTGGGAGGTTAATAATTCACTCGAATATACAAGATGTTTATGAATAAATCGGTCTTAGGTGTCACCAATTTTTCAAATCACCCTGTATGAAATGTATGGATTGTGATTCATGATGGAATGAGAATAGTATATTGCATGCCTAAATCATTTTTTCGATATTTCATTACTACATCGAATTTTCAGACATCACTGAAATGTTTATATGTTTCACTCTGTAAACAATTACATTATCTGAACCATCTGAATTATGTTGAGTAATATGGAGGTTCGTTGATGACATAAGCGAAAAAAATCGTACTAGGCATCTTTGAATTTCGAGAAAATAATTAAATGAAAAATACCGATTTGTAACTTTAACGCCCTGTATCTCAGAATCTGTTCATCAAAGAACTTTACGATTCTGCAGGTTCAATCAGTTCATCGAATTCCACAACATACTGAAAATTCAGAAAATTTCACCGAGAACCATTTTACGTACTAAAAGTGCGGGGTCCTTTGACATAGGTATTGAATACAATCAATACTTGACAATAATTGACAAACCGACGTCCTCGTTATTATTCTTAACCAAAATTGACAATCAATTGAAAGCTTTTCAGTCACTGCATATCCACATCTTTTGTTTTTTAATTCAGCAAAATCAAAATAGTCTACAATTATTGATAAATTTGACGCCAAATTCAAGTTTCATGCAATGTATAGGTCGAAAATTTCATTTAATGACCTCCATTGTCTTGCAAACAAAGATATACACTTTTTTCGAATCCTTTTCGAACATTACTGAAGACATATGGTGTTATAAATCGGCATTCTTCCATGATGGGCGAGTGGACCGATGATGAATTATTGACATTCATTTACTCCACTGTGTCAATACCTCTCACGCTCTTTTATATGAATAATGAGTCTATGCGTTGTTCGAAATCGTTGAATTTTAGAGCTCATTTCAAACGAACCGTCATGGCTGCCATTTGGCGATACGTCGAATGAATGGTGACGTCTGTTTTTATGCTGTATCGTTATTGGTTAGATATAATCTTCGATTTTCACTCATGAAGTCAGATTGGCAAGTCACCAATTCTTCTTCTTCTTCTTCTTCGAAGCACTGGTGGGCGGGTGAACCCCCTGCACGTGGGCCTCCTTATTCGGGCCCATTGTGCGCCCACATGTTACGACATTCAGCTGGGTATGCCGACTGCCTTGGAGAAGTTCAGCAGCTTCCTCAGCTGAATCTCTTTTACGTCCTCTGGCCTCAAAATTATGTTGCCAAGGACAGCCCTCCTCTGATGCGTCAGTGCTGGACACTCAGTGAGGACATGTGATGACGTTTCGTCATCTTCCAGGCACCATCTACAAATGGGGTCATCCTTGATCCCAATTAGTTCTAGGTGCCTATTGAGGTGGTTGTGCCCCGTTAGGAGCCCCACTACCATTTTAAGGTTTCGCCTGTTTAGGAATAAAACCTCTTTTGCGCGCCTCTTCGAAGGTTCCTTTATGTGGAGCTTCGATTGTCTCATTCCTGGTGTGTCCTGCCATAATTGAGGAATTGCTTTTGCAGCTGTTTCTCTATAGAGGACATTGTCAGGCTATTTGGTATTCCCAAGATTGGTTCCGGTCCGACCGAGGTCCGTTCTGAACCGATCTTTGCCAGTCTGTCTGCCTCCTCGTTTCCGGGTATTCCCGAATGTCCCGGGACCCACATGAGGCTGACTTTTCTTGATTTTGCCAGGTTTTCCAAGGCTTTTCTGCACTCGGACACCAAATTGGATGTGATCCTATTGGATTGCAAAGCCAGTATTGCAGCTTTGCTGTCCGAGCATATAGTGATTGGTCTACGAGTCACCAATTATAATCAATAAGTTATCAAGAAGATGTTACAGAGTCTTGTATTTGAAATACATAGGCACAGGGCTCCTTTTTACAATTAACCTAACACTTAACCGGTGCTCATTTGCACAAAGTATTTTTCATAATGTGTTCTTTTCATTCCCACGACCTTTGGTTTGTGAGGATTAAGGCTGATGATGGACACAAATGACTGTCCGAAACATGTTCCCCTAAATAATCTTCCGATTATTAAAACGTTGTGGAGATGATTTTGTTTTCTAACTCTCTCATCACTACACTCCACTTAGAGAAAGTTACGGACTTCTACATGAGATAAACTTCATCATATTATTGATTTCAGGATAGACGTGACGAGATAATGAAGAGATGGAAGCCAGTGAAACGAAAACAATTGCCCCCTCTAGCCATACCAAAATCGCCATTGCCAGATAGGAAGTGCGCTGCATCTATGTCCCATCTCGAAATTGTGAGTATCTACCCTTACCGAATCATTGTATTCATAAATAGCTGTCCGGTCCAGTTTGGCAAGGTTGTGTACCATAAACAAACTAAGACATATTTGCTGTCGTTCTGACCTATGCGCGTATCTGCAATACATATTTGTTTGTTATTATTTAAAGAATTTTGTGCTTTTCTATAGCTACTTTTATACAGGGTGAGTCAAAATTGTGTACCGAGCTAATTTCTGGAGGTGATAGTACATTGAAAAATGATTATAGTTTGATGAATAAACTATACTGGCCCAACATGTTTATTGGGGGAGATATGGTATATCCTTCCAAAGTTGATTAAGTTATTTGAATTAATTTTTCCGCATAACTTGTAAACGGTAAAATCCTACATATAAATGTATCTTGATAAAACACATTTTTCTGCTACACTTCTATCATTTCTGATAATGTTATAAAGGGTGTTTTTAGAGGATGGGTCATTATTTTTTGAAGACAACTGTTTTCCTCGCATTCTTTTTGGTGAAAAAATAGAAGCATTTGATAGAGCAAGGAAGTTACATAAAAACGGTATCCCTATCAAAATACAAGAAATGTAACCGTTTTCGAGATATTTCAGTCTCTGTGATAACATGATAATCAGCAGATAAATTCATCAGTTAATAATATTCTAGGTAGCCTCGAACTTCTTGGCCGGCCATAATCTCTATTTCTCGTTTTGAAACATTCTTTTTCACGCAATCTTTGCACAATCCTCAAAATGTTCTAGAATTTGGAACACGTCGAGTATATAGAAGACATCTCTGGATAACGAATAACCCGCCATTTCTTCAAATCGCTGTAATAATAATACTCCCTAATAACCAGACAAGGAAATCAACAATAACAATGTTGATGTCATAAGCGTCAAAATTAAGAACAAAATTGATCATGGTCTCCAAAAATATTGTTATCGAGAAATCATTCTGCTAATATGATGTAACTACAAAAACTCGAATGTTTCGAAAACTGTTCATTTTTCGTATTTTGATAAGAGCACATTTCTTGTAATTTTCTTCGCTTTAACAAATGCTTTCATTTTAGCATCAAAACGAATACAAGGGAAGAAGTTGTATTCAAAATAGCATGACTCACCTCCTAAAAACACCATTTATAACAATATCAGAAATGTAGACGTGTATCAGAAGAATGTATTTCATCAACATACATTTATATGCAGGACATTTCAATCTGGTGGCTTCCACCGTTTAGATGTTATCCGGAAAAAATGTTTAAACTTAATCAACTTGGGAAGGATATATCCCAGATAACACAGGATATCCTATGGATATCCTTCTCAAGTCCATTTCAGGTCGGGATATCCTGGGACATGAAATGGATATCCATAGGATATCCGTCAGAGGATATCAAATGGATATTCTGAGGCGGATCACCTATGGACGTCCATAAGATGTTCGTTTAGCGAACAAAAATTGTTAATTGAGAATGGTTCAAAACAATACGAATCATCACAAATATCACATGCAAATCACATGTTTATTAGAAATTCAAAGGTAGTTTTCCATCATATAACTATTGTTATGTAGGTATAATATGTTTATAGCCACAATTAAGATATCCGATGCAAATATGAATTCATATAAATAACAACACCACAGTTTGGAATTTTTCTCTGTTGTTCAGTTTTCGTACAAAAATATACAATCACTCGAAAATAGCTCTCATATATTTACTTTTTTGTGGTCTTCAGATGGACATCCATGAGATATTCATCCATGGATTTATAGCGGATATCCATCAGAAGATATCTTATGGATAGCCATAAGATATCCAAAGAAAACATAAAATCATATTTATGTCAAAATAACTTTTGTTCTTCAACATTTTCGCACAAAAATATGATTTTTCAGAAATAACTTGTATCTCCATTTTTTTCCTTGGGATTGATATGGAGATCCATAAGAAGATATATTCGCATCCCTGAATTCAATACTGGGTAGGTATTTTCCCAATGGATAGTAATAAAATATTCTGAAGCAATAAAATATAAATCAATATGGCATTCGCGTGAATGACAAATTTTCCAAAAGAAAGATGGAAAAATCTAAGTGAATCTAAGTTTTATATTCACATCATAACAGTATGCCTTTATTTCCTTTGTTTAATTCTCTTATAGTGACCTGTTTTATTTTTTGTTATTTGCAAATTCAATTAGAATATTCATTATTTTATACTTTGTTGAATGTATACTTGTTTTTTTTATATATAAAAATTTTTATTTAGTTTGATTTATATTCACATTATAACATTTGTTATTCGGTTTGCAACAATTGAATAAATTTTATTTTTTTACATACTCCTACCTGGTGATTTTTTAAGGTGGTTCACTCCTATAACTTTTTCATTATTGTAGGTAGTAAAACGTCAATTGGGGTCATGAATTATAGTTCATTTTATATTATTCGACATATCTACTTGCTTTACCGCACTTTTGGTTTATCCGAGGATGGCATTTTCAAACGGGACACCCTGTATTTTATTCCATAATCGGTTAAGGATTATCATAACGAATTCAACAATACTGTGTTTGATAGGATTTCTACAAACGATTAGGAAGATATTCACTTTTCCATATCCTCAATGAGCATATGAAAACTTCTAATGCAAATATCTTCGTAATCGTTTGAATTAACCCTATCCAATCCGGTACCGTCGAATTCGTTATAATAGTTCCTAATTCATTATGGAATAATATACATGGTGTTCTATATTGTTAAGGATATTTAGTAAATATCCCTGAAAAATATCTCATGGATATTTGTGAACAATATCTTATGGATATCCCTGAAAAATGTCTTATGGATGTCCCTGAAGGATATCCTATAGAAGTCCAACTCCTTCCACTCGGCACGTCCATTGGACGTCCATAAGATATACATCGGATATCACTGGATATTCTCTGGATATCCCAAATATCCTAAATGGACGTCCAATGGATGTCCATCGAATGTCCGTGTGTTGACTGGGATCTTCCTCAATATGCATTTTGAGCCATGAGTTTATTCATCAAAGTATACTTATTTTTTAACGTACTATTACCTCCAGAAAACTCAGTACACATTTTCTACTCACCCAGTATACCCACACCTATTTCCATTCTCTCAGTATCTTTCGTATTTTTGTATTGTTGTTTTACGTATTGAAAATGTCAACCCAATCGATCAGGCCGTTTAGTATATAGTTGACGTCCAATTGTAATTTTGAATCATCCAGAAAATCATCGAAATAACCATATAGAATTTCGACCCAATCGGTTCAGCCGCAAGAAGTTATAGTCCAATAAATGAAGGAGGAAAAAAAGGCAAAGTTGACGTTAATTACGGACTATTTTCATCTTCCGGTTGGAAGTAGCTTTTGGTACCTCATTAAACATGAGACAAAGTTTGACTGGAAAACGCGTGCGATGGCGGAGAAAATGGCCCCAAAAGACCAGAAAAATAGGTTTTCAGCCAATATCTCCTAAAATATGGCAGTTAGAGATTTTCGGTTTGGATATAAATTGAAGTTCAGTTAATTTTCTACAAAAATGGTCCTCATCATTTTTTTCGAAAATTTGCCCGTTTTCGAGAAAAACGGCACGAAGCGCACCTCGAATAATGAGCTTCTGTGTTGTATGCCGGAGAGCACAGTCCGTGTATTTACACATCGGCGGAAGGACAAATTATTCAACTTTACTTTGTTAAACTTTGTTAAAAATGCATATTTTCTCATGATTCAAAGTTCATGTGAAAGAGGAATTCTGCTGCTATCATACCCTGCGTGGCCGCATGGTTTGTAGCAGACGACCCGAGCGCCACGTAGAGCACACACGCGGCGAACGACGGAGGGACGAAAGTAATAAATTATAGCGTGTACATTTAGATATACTGGTTTTTTTCCCGGGATATCAAAGGTATGACTTATATACATCGATGGAAAGGTGGGAATTCCCCCGTTACACTTGTTAAGGTGTTAAAATGTTAGAAATAAAGAGCACGGAGAAAAAAAACACCGAAAAAGAAGTGCGTTTTTTCCTTGACCCCGCTTTTTCTAATTCTATTGAAAAATGGACGACTTCGTCTAAAAAAGTAATTGCACAATCGAAAAGTAGACCTTCTTAGCTTTCAAATGATGTATCATAGAAACCAATCGAATCATGTATAAATTTTTATCATAAGGACCTTATGAGGACCCATTATCAAGAAAATTTTGAGTAAATTAGTGCAATACCTACAAAAAGAAATAGGAACAAATTCCTGGCGAGGTCAAAATTGACCGGGAGCAGAAAGTTGGACCCATGTTCCGATATGGCCGAAAGAGTCAAGCGTGACTCAATTCACAGGGTATGATAGCAGCAGAATTCCTCTTTCACATGAACTTTGAATGATGAGAAAATATGCATTTTTAACAAAGTTATTGAATAATTTGTCCCCCCGCCGATGTGTAAATACACGGACTGTGCTCTCCGGCATACAACACAGAAGCTCATTATACGAGGTGCGCTTCGTGCCGTTTTTCTCGAAACCGGGCAAATTTTCGAGAAAAATGATAAGGACCATTTTTGTAGAAAATTAACTGAACTTCAATTTTTATCTGAACCGAAAATCTCTAACTGATATATTTTAGGAGATATTGGCAGAAAACCTATTTTTCTGGTCTTTTGGGGCCATTTTCTCCGCCATCGCACGCGTTTTCCAGTCAAACTTTGTCTCATGTTCAATGAGGTACCAAAAGCTACTTCCAACCGGAAGATGAAAATAGTGCGTAATTAATGTTAACTTTTTCCCTTTATTTATTGGACTATTATGGGAAAAAGATAAAGGATAAAGGATATTTAAAATCGGTCCAGTAGTTTCGGAGCCCACTCAATTCAAACAAACAATCAAATCTCTCCTCTTTATAATATTAGTATAGATAACGTACAGGGTGAGCGAAACTCTATAACAAGAAAAATGATGAATACAATCTGAGAACAGGTTTTTAAATGTGTTCCAGCCTAGCTTACGCGTCTGCGACCTTTCTATTGGTGAGCAGCAAGCCTGGGAAGAAGAACAACTGAAGCTCGAAGTCGATTTTACGGCGAGTCGCATAGACCCCGCCCCATTCCAACTGGTGGAAAAAACATCTCTATTGAAGGTCAGTTAACTTCATTCTTAATTAATATTCAACAGAAAAGAACTACTTTCCTGGTTATTTGCTACGTCGAACATTAATGAATATCTGTTGAACATCCAAAAGGAGAGGATGAAAAATAAAAATTCTCTGAAATTGAAAATTGACAGTCTCTCTCAAATCGACTGAATAATATGATGTATTTATGATATATAAATATAACTAACCAATATGTTCAGTATTGAAATGGAAATGTTTAGTAGAAGTATACCTACTTGTATAAAATCGACCTTCGTATCTACGCGCAACAACCCTATAACAGTTGCGCTACATCATCTTGTAACTATATTAGTCACAAATAGCTTGAGTAATTGAAGAAGATTACTTTAAAAAGGAATTTGAATTCTAATATTGTTGTGTTAGACCGTCAACAAATATGCCAACTTTTATTTAAATTACTCATGAAACGTCCAGCCAGAATAAAATTGTCTCGCCTTTCGTACAAAATGTCTCACTAACGCGAATTATAAGTAAATAAAATGAAGTAGGTACTTAGGTTATTGTCTCAGATTTGAATCCAAAGCAATCTTGACCAGACACGATGTCAAAGTATCTCCGATAAAATTTAATAAACAAAAAATATCGCTAGAATACAGAAGAAACCGTGAAAACGGTCGATTCTGATTGGTTCTCGAGATCAAGAGAATAGTCTTAGATACATTATGAACCGTTGTTCTATCAACTGCTGGCGGCGTATGTTGAATAAAAATTTGGGCTGACTTTGTTGTTTTTCTTATGTTTCCGTCTATATCGATCGAATAATTGGAATCCCGTAAAACTTGGTGAGGAAGTCGATAATCCGAGATGAAAATATCTTATGCAAATACCTGAAATATACACGGTGGTTGAGAAAGTAGTAGTGGAGTTTTCTTGGAGTTGATGTACTCCAGAGCAATTGAGAAACAAGACAGAAATCCTGAGTACGTCAACTCCAAGAAAACTCCACTACTACTTTCTCAACCACCCTGTTTAATTCAGGTATCGCATAAAATATTGTCATCTCGAATAATCAACTTCCTCATCAAGTTTTACAGGATTCCAATCATTCGAATGATCTGGAACGGAAGTTCAGCAATATTGCAAATGTAAATTAGTAAATGTAACGTTCCAGCAATGTCACAGCAACATGTAATATTGCTGCAACTCTACATTATCAAACTTCACCTTTGCAATATTGCTGAACGTCCGTTCCAGTAATTGCTTCAACATTGCATTAACATAGCTTGAAACTTTGCTTAGTGGGTTTTTTTTCGTTCAATTTCCAGACAACAAAATTCTCATTGAAATGTGAAGTTTGCTAATAATAGGTTGAAAATTTGGCCTTGTCTTTTGAAGGTCCATTCGCTGTTCTCCCTGTTAGCCATCAACTTCGCCTACGTCACCTCCATCGGCCAATTGGTCGGCATCGTGGGACTGCGGGAGCTGAGAAGAGCAATCGAGGACACAAACAGCGGAAACCCGCCTAAAAGAAGCGAAAAACCGGCGGTTAGGACCCCAGGGATTAGGACTCCAGAGATTAGAACTCCGGAGATTAGGACTCCTGAGATAAGGACTTCGGAGATTAGGACTCCCGAAATTAGGACTCCGGAGATTGCGATAGATGTTAGCCCTGCGGATGCGGGGAGTATGCCTATGGAAGTAATCAGATATATTGATGAGTGATGTAGCTACAGGGTGTGCTATCATGTTACAACGTTACTTTATAACTTTCCTGTCGAAAAAGTGATACAAAATTAGTAAGCTTAGATCTATATTCTCTTTGAAGGCGCATGCTGTAAATGTGACATAGACAAACAATATGATGTGGAAAACAATACGAAATTGTGCGAATGTCATTGTTTTTCAAGGCCAATCGAAAAATGCCATGTTTTATCAATGTAGAATTAGTTCGAACTAGTGTTAAAACTACTGAATCATCAGCTATGAAGAACAGAGATATCAGTTCAATGTATTTCATTTTATACCGGGTTGATCATTTGCCAAGACGTGCAGTTGTTTTTTATGTTAGACTTTTGACATTTGTACTCATATTCTTCGTTAAAAACCAATTGGATATTACTTCTGGTTTTACCAGGAATAGTCCTGGTTCGAGAATTTTGAAAAAACCCAGCAGATATTTTCACGCAATTTGATAGAGCGAAATATTCCCTTCCCCATGACATATCACTATCATATTATGTTCATAAAATGGCAGCGCCAGAGATAGTTTTTCTTAAATAATTATGGCGACACGGTGACGTCATCGATAGATGAATGTTTCATCAAACATTCGAAAATTTTGAAATCATCTGATTCTCTTATATAACATTCTTTGTTGAATTTTCAAAATTTCAAAAAGGAATGATTTTCAAATCAAAAAGTATGAGTCAGTATCTATAAAGGGTGATCCACGGTGAATGGCCTATTAGAAGTATCTGGAGAACGAAAAGACAGAACATTCTGAAAATTGAGATGCTTTGATAATTGAACATTCTCTATTCGTCTGAAATATTTTCACCGGTACGGTTTTGCCACTTTTATCAGAAACTACTATCAACTTTGTTATTTCGAATAGAACACCCTGTATTTTATTGCATTTGAGTGTTCTTCCTGAAGAGCTAGCAGGAATGTTTATATGGGGTGTTCAAAATCTAGATTTTCCAATTTTAGGATTTGTTTGTGTCGAAACTATTCATTATCGATCAAAACGGCTTACATGTCCCTATCTTAACTCTTGATCCACTATCTAGTGAAATTTAATTGGAAAAAATACAGGGTGCTTCAAGATTCAGAATTCTGATCACCATGTATATGTTCCAATTAAATTGCAGTAGATATAGTGAATCGAAAGTTGAGAATAGTTTCGACACAAAAAAATCCTAAAATTGAAAAATCTCGATTTTGAACACCCTATATCTCTGTAATCATTCCTGCTAGACCCCCCAAGTGTGATACATTGATGAAATCAGCTCTTCAGGAAGAATCTAAAATACAATACAGGGTGTTCCATTTGAAATAACAAAGTTGCCAGTTGTTTCTGATAGAAGTGGAAACACTGTTTCGATGAAAATATTTTAGACGGATAGAGAATGTTCAATTTCAAAGTTCTGTCTTTTCATTCTCCAGATACGTCTAATAGGCCATCCACCGTGGATCACCCTGTAGATGAATGCTCCAGATACACTGAAAGGCTCTTGTTTTCATTTTAAATGATGTATATGAATGCTTTTGATACACTAAAAGGCTCTTGTTTTCATTTTCAATAAAGGTCTGTATAATTTTTTTGCCCTACCTCAAAAACAAGAGGCGTAGTATATATTTCCTATTTTGAAATTTTGAAAGAAAACATTTGAAAGAATCACTAAAATGAGGAATCCTGATTGGAGAAGAATGAAAAATTTCGTATATGTTCCATCAAAAACCAATCAAAGTGCCTTCGCCAATCGATCACTACTACCAAACCACCCAGTAAACACAAACATCCCTGGGATGTCACATTCATGTCTCTCTCGGTAACAATGCGAATTACAACAAAACATCATTGGTACTGCCAGGGGACTCTTTGTTCTACAAAACATTCACAATATTCGTCACATTTTATTAGATTTGAGACTTAAAATGTAGGTGAACTTATGAGGCTCCCTAACAACCAATAAGAGCTAGACTCACTGGAACCTCACATTCTTGTATATTTACGTAACAAACGGAATCAATCAATCTTGATGTTGAATAAGGAGTCGCTTAATACATATTGTGAGTTTCATTTGGCATTATAATGTGAATCATAAAATGACCAAAAGGGTCCGGAATAGAAGTCATTGTGATTTCAGTGAAACTCTCATTTCGAGTCACGGATATGTGATGTGTGTCATGAATGTGATAACCTTTCGCGTTTACGAAAGATTGCAATAGTTTTTCACAATCATTTAGGCATATGAATCGTGTTCTTGAGCTATGTTTTTATTTCAAATATTCCATCACATTTTGTTGTTGCAGCGGGAGACGAACGGAATAAGAGTTTTCGGGTAAATCGTCATATAAAAGTGATGTTGTCACTCTAGTCAGTCTCGTCACTCGCACATATAGTTTTTATTTAAGAATGTTTTCCTTTTTTTTTTCATTTAGAATGCTTTCTACCACTTCTGCATAAGCTAATAGAGTGAAAATGTAAAACACAGGACCATATTTCGTCAGCATTTCAGACCAAACCTCCTCGTTTGACTGCATACGAATCCAAGCTTCTTGATGCCTTATTTTAAAAACTTCACAAATCTTTCTATAAGCTGTTCCTATATCAGAAGGAATTCTAAAGAGGAATAACAAATTTTCAGAATAAAAACTATGTGTGTGACTATACAGGAGCAATTATTTACCTACTGAAAATAAATCTTATTCCTTCGTCTCTCGGTGCATTTTTAGTGCATTGTATAATAGCATAATATGTGGCATATGCTTGAATTAATAATATAGGTATAGCCCAAAAAACACGATTCGTATGCCAATATAATTGTGAAAATCTATTTAGATCAGCGATGTTTTTCCTTCAGCCGATCTGTCAAATGCGCGACTGGTGGATTATTTGTTACGCTATGTCTCTAGCTGGACCAATTCAGGTAGTATCGAATTCGTGCATTTTGTTTACGCAGAAAACTAAAACGTCTATGTCATTCGTGGTCAAATCGCTGAATAGCAAAACATCAAAAGGGTATATCTTCCATGCAATAATGAATTTGTGCCTTCGAAGTGCCCACCTGATGTTAGGTTAGATATTTGTCATTCTCAATTCATCATCTCAATAATCCTAGACTTACGAGCCCCAAAATTCGTTTTGTTATTATTAATATCTAAAGTACAGTCCTATAGATTTCAATGTTTGTATCCTACGTCCTTTCTAATACATCTGAAAATATGTATACTAAATTTCATGATAATCGGCTGAGTAGTTTTGGCGTGAAAGCCTAGCAAACAAAATTACATTCAGTGCCGTCATATCGATATTAAGAAAAATGTCTCTTGCACCGCCATTCTAGAAAAAATATCCACTTGTGGCGGAATTTATCGTTCTATCGAATAGCATGCAAAAATCTTCACGATCACTTTTTTTCGTGATTTTAGGTAGGTATATCAGCTTGTATATATCCTTTTGAGGCATTTTGCCGCAGAAACCTGTTGATTATTCATGTATTTATTCTTGTTTTGATACGCTTCTTATTTATTCTATTATTTTATTGTGGAAAGATTGCATACATATTTTTATAACGGAATTTATATTAGGCTCACTTACTAATTAAAGTTCTACTATCGAATAAAGCTTCCATTTAAAACTGGTCATTGAATTTTCCTCGAATTCAACCCATTTCATTCTCCAGAGAAAAAGATTGTATTGCAATGTGCGTAGATTATACACTTCACTAAGAAATCGACATCTTTCGAGGTTGACAACGAAAGGATGTGCTGACTGGGCTCGTCTAGTTCGTCTGACTGGTATTGCTAGTGAAGGGATGATAGCAGGGATTTCCGAAGAACATTTCCCGTGGGAGTAATAATTACACCATCAAGTTTGAATTGAAATTACACTTCAGCCTCATTTTTTTCCAACATTCGATTTTTGGATTCACTCAATTATCGCTCCTATTACTCGAGAAACACCATTTCAGAGCGTAATTTATGGAAAATTAATATCCAGCAAATTAAACAACGAAAAAACGAAACAATGCAGTCACAAGTTGAAAGAAAAGGCCAGGAGCGAGTATTTTCGCTGCGGGCACGAATACGTTCTTGGGAAAGACGGCCTATACCCAAAATATGAGACCTTATGTAATTTTGGTCCAGTTTTTCCCAAATTTCAATCGTCGCAGTCTGTGCCGTGCGTTTTCCAAAATATTCAAGTTAAATCCTCTTGTAAACTGGTCCCAAGAATATCCCAGAGATCATCAATGGTATTTGAATCCGGGCTCTGAGCTGGTCATGCCATGGTAGCGATACCGATTTCCTCTAGATAATATCTCACAACAAAAATCAATGAATGCACTATATGTGGTTCTGAAATCACCAATATGTACCTTTTAGCTGTAAGGCATCCGTTTATGATCACAATTTCCATGCGACCAATCAAAAAAATGCCTTCCAGGCCATAGCCTGCTACTTTCGTGATTATAATGCCAATTGAATTCAAGAAAATTGTGTTTCTGGAGAAATTGGAACGAAAATGGAGTGTATCCAAAATTAGGAATGTCGAAAAAAGATGAGGCTAAAGTGTACTTCAATTTCAAATGGGCGTGTACACCTTAGTAGAACTTTTAACTCAAACCATGTTTATAATGATCCTTTTATACATAAATAATGATTGACGACATAATTAGATCGAAAAATTAACTGGAATGTTTTATTTTTGGACATAAATAATAGTACCTTCTGAAAACGGACCCTCTTATGACGTAGAAACCTCATCTCGCCATAGTTAAAAGACAAACGCCCGACGGAGACTGAGGCAACTGATATATTAATTCTTTCAACTGTGATCTCGCGTTAATTCACTCTGTCAGAAATCATGTATCATTCATCTCTGTCTGGAATGGTCTTGTTTCAGTATTAGGGTTTTGACGTCACATCATCACCTCGTTTTCAGAGGTCCGAAAAAACGGAGATTTCAATAATTTTTTATAAAACGTAGGAAGCTCACAGCAAGAAATGGTTTGCGGTGGTGAGCTAGTTTGGGTGAGTTCTATCGAATTATGAAATATTTTTTTTTTGTGATATAAGACCATTGTTTACGTACTCCACATGGTATTACAAATTTCATGAAGAAACCACGCTATAATTGTTACACCCGGGATACATCAAAAAGAGCCAATATTCAGAAGAAGATAACCTATCAATGAAAATAAAAAGCATCGTTAATTTTTTGGGGAAGTGTAGCTTCCCATTTGGAAATGAGCAATATGTGATTAAACTAGTTATACGGGAGTAGAAAAAAATCTTTTATATACTACTATTTATTATATATTTCACATAAGAAATACTCGAGATTGAAACACAGTTGCAAATAAAAGCATAACAAACTATATAAATAAAAGAAAAACAATTCATAAAATCAATAACAAACTGCTTCACATTTGAAGTCAGAAATACGAGAATCTCGTTCATTCCTCAAGTGTCATAATCTTTGCGGTTTTATTTTATTTTCGAGATTCAACCACAAAGTTACAAAAATAATTATAATCAAATTACAAATATCACCCTATATGTTATCATTCAGAAACTGCGGAACAAGAACAGCTATTACTGAACCTTATCAACTGAGCTTTCAAAACTCAAGAGAAATTGAAAAATTGGTTCACACTATCTAAAAAGTTAGTTTGTTTCACTCCAAATGTGGAGCAGTTTAAAATAAAAAAATATATATATTTTTGAGGTCTGATCAGAACTGAATACAATTCAACGTAAATATACCACAATCATGTGTTTTGTTTTATCAAAAAGCCTTAAAATTCATTGCACTCAAATGCCCAATCTTGCAGAGTGAAAATATATTCTACCAATATATTTACACGAATTACCGAAATACACTGGTTCACTAGTATATAGTATAGTATTATTTGTTTGGATAGGGTTGGTTTGCTCATTCGAGCATGATGTCTAAAGAAAAAATATGTATGATGTATAGAAAAAAATGGCTGAGAATAAATATTATAAAAATAGAGAATATTGAAGTTTAAAAAAATTAAGGGTAAAAAAAGCGAGGAACAATATTTCGACTTACTTTTACAATTACTTTCTCTTCTCAAATATTCATTGAACTAGGGCAGATATCTCTAGACAAATTATATCAGTTTGTACATTCCGAAACTAAAAAAAAAACTTACCTAAATGGAAAGTACAAAAATGTTATCACAGAACAATAATATAAAGAAGCATTCATCCCATATACTCATCTATCAATCCTTTTTCTTCCATCAGCGAAACTTTGATGTCGTTGATGATTTCCGACACAGGCCTGTAATAATATTAATAATAATAATAATACTAATAATACTAATAATAACAACAACAATTTTAATGAAAGACACGTGATGGGTCCGAAAGATAATTTTCTCAGGACGCCTAGGCGAAATTCCTAAGTCTTGTGAGTTATGTTTCCGTATTTCAACTCGAAAATTTGTAAACTGTGTGACCAAGATAAGACTGCACAGCATGGGGATCTTGGAAACCGGGAGATACTAATTCGGTTGAATGAGAAAGAAATTGCGCCTTCCGAGGGTCATATCGAAAAAAGTGAATTATTGGAAAATGTTTTTCATATTTTTTCAATGATATTATTAGAGATAATATGAAAAAATGGCAATGCAAAAATGCAGCTCATTTTGAAACACTACAAAAAATAAAGTTGTTTTTGCGGATATCTCCAGACATACCTGGAATATAGAGAATGGGAAAGTTTCCTATATTGAGGTTTTCATCTCACTGTGAAGTTTGTGAAAAATTAATATGTACAGGGCTAGTTTTATTAATGTGAACCCCCTCTATCTTCTTTGTTTTCCACTCATTCAAAAAATTTCAAAGCTGATTTTATACAATATTTTGCACAGATTTCACTCATTTTGACAATGATGCAATATCTATTCAAATATACCAGGTATACAGAAATAAATATATTTTTCAAATGAAACGCCCTGTATATTTCGATAAATTCGAATTCCCTAAATCATCCTGATTCCAAACATATATATAGAAGGCTCTTCATCTATCAAAATATACAGCGCATTCCATATTAAAAAAATCAATATATTTCTGTATCCTCTGTATATTTGAAGAGATATTGCAACACTCTCTCAATATGATTGAAACCAATATGGAATATCGTAAAAAATCAGCTTTGAATCTTCTCGAATGGATAGGAAACGAAGAAGATGAAGGGGGGTACACATTAATAAAACTAGCCCTGTACGCATTATTGTTTTTTCTCGTAAGATCAAATTTCACTTCAGAAAAAAATAAATAAAAGAGGAACTTGGCTCCTCCACCATTCCTATGACGTCCTTTCTGAAAAAACACATTCACACAGTAAAAGTACGATTCCCTGTGCCAGTACGACGTTGCCGACATCATCAATATGTCTAGATTTCCGAAAATTGTTCTTTGAATGCATAATAACTATATCATAACAGCAATGGGATATAATAGGTTCTTCAATCCTACTTTGTCAAGTATTATGAATAATTCCCATAAATTTCTCATTAGCTGAATGAAGTTTATTACTAATAAAGATGAATTATGATATTTTACGATAGTATCTATAATTTTTCACTATCGTTATAATTACCATATGTTCTTCATAACTTGTCAGTCATTTTTTTGCTAATGAATTCGATCCTTAATAAAACAAATCTATTTTCTAGGAAAGTTTCAGATTTTATCTTGCACTGACAGGCACAACAAGTGGAAGGAGCCATGGGTGTCGGCTTCATTCTGTTTTGACCGATGATAGTAAATTAGGAAGGATAGTATCATTGAATGTAGCCGATTGTGATTCATTGTGTAATGAAGTGTTTTTGACCAGCTTCATTACTAGACTGGTTTTGATCAAAATCTAAGTACCTGAGCCTGATTCTAGTTGAATTTCACCTGTTCGAAAGCTCGAAACCTGAAAACCTGAGAGAGCTGAGTAATGCATTGATTCCTGACTTCACAAAGCTTTTCCTGATAGTAAACTCTAATGAACATCATTATAACCCTGAAGACTTCAATATTTTTCAACCCTTTGCTTATGATATGAAATTTGATTGAATTATCTATCTGTTGAAATGCTTGATGTTTGATTACTCATAACTTTGTTGTTATTGAATATTTTCTAGCAAAATTCATTCAGTAGCATAAGCAAAGGTAGTAGATCCTGTTCCTGTGCCCATTTAGGGTGTAATATTATTTTTTCCGCGTTTTGTGTTGGACGTGCACATGTGTTTTTCAAGGACAGATCTAATGGCCATGGCCATGAGCCATGACAAGGTGGGAGTTGTGACCAATGAGATTCCAGATTTACTTGTCCTCGTGCCAAGGCCAAAGCAGTGCATAAATACTGAAGACAGCCAAGGATTCGTCACACTCTCTAAGCTCTTCTTGACAAGTCTACACCACCTGATCGCCGTTGCTCTTCAAGCTCCTGATTCTCTAGCTGATCTTTTAGTGCTCTCATAGTTCATTCAAAACCAGTGTAAAATAGTATTGTATAGTGATTTCCTGTTACACATGTAAGTTTGTATATTTTTCACCAGTGTTATTCATCCTGTTTATAGCCTCATTTCATTCCTGTTGTTTTTCACACCGATACTCACCCGACCTGTGTAAAGAATCCAGAACTCTAAATTGAATAAACGGATTTTGTGATTGCATATTTCATATTTCCTTCTCTGTTGTCATTGTTTTCAGTTCCAAATAGTTCAATAATTTATTTAGTGATTTTCAATATTTTCATTTGTCAAAATTGCAGAATATTATTATTGACTGACGACTGACACTGACAAACCAGTTAACAACTCTTCTTCTTCTTTTCCTTGAGAAATCCAGTCCTGTGCACCGGTGTCTCTGTACTTTGTATCCCGTCAGGCGGTGTTCTATGTTTCATGAACTATTGACATTAATGGAAAAATATAATAAATTAACCCCACTGAAAATCCGATATTAGAAAATTAGAAAAATCGAAGGAAAAGAAAAGATAGATAAAAATTGAATCTTTTTAATTCGTTTAGAACTGTGTTTCCGATTCTCCAGATAGAAATGACGAAATAGTTTGAGTAAATAATCTTCCAGACTTAACCTTAAAATACCAAAGACCTGAGACATATTTTGCTTTGATTCCTGTAATTATCCAGACCAGAAATAGCAACCAGTATTCCAGGCTAGACCCAGGGTTTGTAATTAAAGCCTACACTCCCTTGGCTACTTATTGATTCCAGGTCGATTCAATACCATTGACCCCTGGATTATACTGTGGGTACCGAGGTAGGTATACCTCCTGTACCTTTCTCCACTGTTGCTACTGTGGGCCTCCTTCCCGACTAAGTTGGGAGGAGCAGGTGAAGTAAATCACCTTTATCAAAAATCTGGCGCTCGAGAATCCCCCCTGTCAAATACCAGAGTAGTCTCCTGTCCTGAACAGAGCGTCAAAGTAAGGGCCCCAGAATAAAGACCCCTTACAATTGATTCAATGATATTTTCGTTTAGAATCGAGCTCTATTCGAGATATTTCAATGCATAAATAACAAAACCATAACCTGTCAGAATGAAGCCAACTACCCTCTGCATTCCTGCTCCGAGTGGTTATGTATGTTTTTGTTTACCAGTTTTACTTCTTCTATTTTTTCAATTCGTTTTTCATTCGTTAGCTATTCGCTAGCTATATTCTTCACCATCAGCTATGTCCAGACTAGATTCAGAATGTACAGTCGTATTCAATGAAAAAGCGTACAAGTATTAAATAGAGAGGATTTCGGGATCCTAGTTCTAGTTGTGTAAAACTAGCTCAGCCAATGCTTTGTGTTTTCGAGAACCTATGACAACTTTACTGTCAACATTTGGTGAACAATCATTCCCGATAGCCCGTTTTATGCAGAATAGGATGACGTTAATTTCTCTCTGTAATATACTTGTACGCTCATTTTTTAATGCGACTGTACAGGGTATCCCAATTTGGGCACTTTTGCGGGGTATCTCCCTTATCAGTAAAGATAGAGCATTGCGGTTTTCGCGACAGTGTGCTACTTTTTTATGAAATCAATAATGGCCCAAGCAGAATTGTGATAGCTCTTCCGGTTGTCGAGATACAGGGTGGAATTGAAAAATATCACTTTTCAGGCACCCTCCGTATCTCAGTTATCTTTGAACTTATCGAAGAAGTTAAAACTTGTTTTTATAGAGTTTTTCTCGTAGAATCCAGTGGCGTAGTTATTTTTTTGCTAGCACCTTTTGTTTTTTAGTTATGGAGCAAACATATGTTTTTTTAAATGGAACACCCTGTATATTATTTCATATATACATTGAGCATGAAGTGGGCTTTCCAAAAATATATAATTGTATACAATTATTTTCCATTTAAAAAAACATATGTTTGCTCCATAACTAAAAAACAAAAGGTGCTAGCAAAAAAATAACTACGCCACTGGATTCTACGAGAAAAACTCTATAAAAACAAGTTTTAACTTCTTCGATAAGTCCAAAGATAACTGAGACACAGGGGGTGATATTTTTCAATTCCACCCTGTATCTAGACAACCGGAAGAGCTACCACAATTCTGCTTGCGCCATTATTAATTTCATAAAAAAGTAGCACACTGTCGCGAAAACCGCAATGCTCTATCTTTACTGATAAGGGAGATACCCCGCAAAAGTGCCCAAATTGGGATACCCTGTACATCACAGTTTGCCGCCCCGAAAATTACAAATTGTTTTAATTTGAAAATGAAAATGACTTGGACTTTATCGGTCGCCATTCTGTACAGCGTGGACATAAAACTGGAGAGTTTCGAACTTATTTTATGAAAATTCATCTGAAGGAAACTTCCCACTTTCTTAACGGCATATAGTTACATAAATGCGCAACTTTACCCCTATTTAACAATCTTCGTATCGCTCATAATTTCCGAGGTCACAATGGTGGGGATCGAATTTGAAACACCCTGTAGATACGGCCGTCAATTAAAAAAAAAGTCATACCTGTCGCTCCTACAGTCGACCATTTCCACCCCCACCCCGCCGTGCCGCTGCTTGAGATGAATACGCATCTGATAGGGCGACACGTTCGTGTAGCCGCACACGTGACACACCAACGGTTTCGTGTTGTGCGTGAAAATGTGTTTGCGGAAGTTGCTGCGGTCCTTCGACGTGTACGAGCAAAACACGCAGCTCAACAAGGTGGCAGCGTGCTTCAGCATGTGCTTGCTCAGGTTGAACTCACTGGTGCACTGAAAAGTGCGATTTTCGATGATTATTCCACTCATTTCTTCGATACAGACAATTTTTGATTGGTTGGAATCTCAGAGTAACTAGTTGACCTTACAGCAGGCGCGCGTCGTAAAATTTCCAACAAACACGCCTACTTACTTCATCCACTTTTATATATCAATCTTTGAGCTATTCACTCTTCGAACTACAGACGTATCGGGTTTGCACGCAAAGTATTTACAGAACAAAATGAAAAATCAATTATTCAAAGATAGACGTGGCGGCATCGCAAAGTTTCATAGACAACAAGCAACAATTGTTGTGAGAAATTTAATTTGCCGATTTTGATGTTATTAATGGTTTTCCGTCTGTTGTGTGATTGGTTTTCACCATATTTCTAGTTGATTTTCGTATATAAAATGTGTATTTTTCAATGATGAAAAGGCTAAATTTCAAAATTTTCGTGATATATCTCGATGAATAGTGGTTTGTCCACATTTTCATCATCCAAAGTATGTTTTTATTAGGAAGAGTGAAAAAAAATGTTTCCGTGATGTGCGTGAAAATGTGTTTGCGGAAGTTGCTGCGGTCCTTCGAAGTGTACGAGCAAAACACGCAGCTCAACAAGGTGGCAGCGTGCTTCAGCATGTGCTTGCTCAGGTTGAGCTCGCTGGTGCACTGGAAAAGTGCGATTTTCAATGATTATTCCACTCATTTCTTCGATATAGACAATTTTTGATTAGTTGGAATCTCAGAGTAACAAGTTGACCTTACACACGCCTAATGACTTCCCACGTTTTCATCTAACAGTCGCGAGCATCATTACTCATTTTGTCAAATTAATTTAAACAGCGCGTGCCGAAATATCATGCAATTCATAAGTGTATGTGATTAACTGAAGATCAATAATAATATAGGTAACCAACGTAGGTGATCCATAACTTACAGTGGAGGTGATATATAACAGGAGGGGTGAAAGAACTTACAGTCACAACTCCACCACATAAAAATTTTTAATAATGACCAACGGTCATGGACATAAAAAGGACATGTTTCGAAGGATTAATCCTTCATCATCAGCAAATGTGTTAAAAAGAAAATCTGTAAGAAGAAACAATGCTTATGTTAGTCATAAGTGTTGATTATGGAATCTAAATGTACCTACCATTATTGGTGGAAAAAGTTCACATGATGCAAAACATGGAAAAAAAATTATTATTTATAAACCGCGCATAGTGCGGGTGAGTTAATGTTAAGGAATCATTTTTTTAAAAGCTCAATAATAAGAGCTTAGATAATTGAAATTTTTGACAAAGTTCACTTATCAAAAAGAGCCAACATGTGGAACTGGAATTCGTTGAATTAGGTTAACTAATCACAAATGACAAATGACATATGATGGCAATGACGCTGAGGACAAAACACAGTATCAGAATAACAACCGTCAAGTCAAAACCAAGGAATGTTTTGATTCGAAGTGACATAGAACACAGAAACAAGAATTGTAGTTAAAATGACAGGGAGGCTATCGAATTGAGTTTGTTCATTGAGGCAGTTGAGGTTAGAATTTTTGACCGCTTTATTAATTTCCAGAGTTTCAAGGAGGTTAAGTTTTTTTCCCTTGTCACAAATATGTAAAATTTCAATGTTAGATTTGGAATCAAAAGAGTGTTTGTCATTGATTATATGGTTAGGAAAAACAGAATTGGACTCAAAAAATTCTTTTTCAAAATTATTTTCTATAATGCGATTGTGTTCTGATACTCTGGTTTTGAACTTGCGACCTGTTTGACCAATGTAGCAAACTTTACAATCATCATTCTTACAATTCAATTTATAAACACCGGATTTTTCCAAAATATCAATCTTGTCTTTTGTGTTGACTAGTGTACTCCCTCTAGAGTATTGGCGGTTTTGAAAGAAAAATTAAAATTTATGGTATTATTGTTGTTGAGTTTCTTTCCCAGAATTTTCCTGAGTTCAAGGGAAACGGAACCAAAGAAAGAAAGGGAAAAATATTTGGATGTTGAGACAGAATTTGTTAAAAAAATATTTGAAAATTTATTGGTGTATTTCAAGTAAAGTCGATCAATTAAATGAATAGGAAAATTATTGTTGACTGCGATCTGTTTAATGATATTCAATTCAGCTGTAAAGTTTTCATTGTTCAAGGGTATTGTAAAAAGTCTATGAAAAAGTGCATGGAAAGCTGAAAATTTTTGGCTGTAAGGGTGGAATGAATTGAAAGGTATAATATTGTCAGTACTTGTTGGTTTTCTGTAAATTGAAAAGTTGAAAGTATTTGTTTCAAGTTTCTTTCTTTTCTGAACTCTATCAATCCTAGAATACAATTTACAATGGAAATTGAATCCAATAATCAGTTACCTTTTCTTGATATCTTGATACACAAAACAAATACTTTCAACTTTTCAATTTACAGAAAACCAACAAGTACTGACAATATTATACCTTTCAATTCATTCCACCCTTACAGCCAAAAATTTTCAGCTTTCCATGCACTTTTTCATAGACTTTTTACAATACCCTTGAACAATGAAAACTTTACAGCTGAATTGAATATCATTAAACAGATCGCAGTCAACAATAATTTTCCTATTCATTTAATTGATCGACTTTACTTGAAATACACCAATAAATTTTCAAATATTTTTTTAACAAATTCTGTCTCAACATCCAAATATTTTTCCCTTTCTTTCTTTGGTTCCGTTTCCCTTGAACTCAGGAAAATTCTGGGAAAGAAACTCAACAACAATAATACCATAAATTTTAATTTTTCTTTCAAAACCGCCAATACTCTAGAGGGAGTACACTAGTCAACACAAAAGACAAGATTGATATTTTGGAAAAATCCGGTGTTTATAAATTGAATTGTAAGAATGATGATTGTAAAGTTTGCTACATTGGTCAAACAGGTCGCAAGTTCAAAACCAGAGTATCAGAACACAATCGCATTATAGAAAATAATTTTGAAAAAGAATTTTTTGAGTCCAATTCTGTTTTTCCTAACCATATAATCAATGACAAACACTCTTTTGATTCCAAATCTAACATTGAAATTTTACATATTTGTGACAAGGGAAAAAAACTTAACCTCCTTGAAACTCTGGAAATTAATAAAGCGGTCAAAAATTCTAACCTCAACTGCCTCAATGAACAAACTCAATTCGATAGCCTCCCTGTCATTTTAACTACAATTCTTGTTTCTGTGTTCTATGTCACTTCGAATCAAAACATTCCTTGGTTTTGACTTGACGGTTGTTATTCTGATACTGTGTTTTGTCCTCAGCGTCATTGCCATCATATGTCATTTGTCATTTGTGATTAGTTAACCTAATTCAACGAATTCCAGTTCCACATGTTGGCTCTTTTTGATAAGTGAACTTTGTCAAAAATTTCAATTATCTAAGCTCTTATTATTGAGCTTTTAAAAAAAATGATTCCTTAACATTAACTCACCCGCACTATGCGCGGTTTATAAATAATAATATTTTTTCCATGTTTTGCATTATGTGAACTTTTTCCACCAATAATGGTAGGTACATTTAGATTCCATAATCAACACTTATGACTAACATAAGCATTGTTTCTTCTTACAGATTTTCTTTTTAACACATTTGCTGATGATGAAGGATTAATCCTTCGAAACATGTCCTTTTTATGTCCATGACCGTTGGTCATTATTAAAAATTTTTATGTGGTGGAGTTGTGACTGTAAGTTCTTTCACCCCTCCAATAATATAGGTTTTTATAATAATATAGGTTTCTATAATGATATAGGTTTTTATAATAATAAATAAGTGTCAAAATATTCTTCAGTAGATCATGAAATGTTTCAGTAGATCAGTAGTTCAATATGCATTTTTTTTATGTTCTGGTTCCCATGAAAAGGGATATCCTGTAATGTTCAGAGAACTGGCAACCGTGCAGCGGACCAAAAGTGTTTGCGCACGAAAAGTTAGTGCCTTCGACAATAGTCGAAAATGTGTGTTTTTGTAAAGGTCGACGAAAAAATCGGTTTCATAATGAGAATCCTTCTCAACATGAACAATGTTGATATTTGATTGGCGGATATATATAGCATTACGGGACTAGTAGAAAAATGATATTGTTGAAAAGGTTGGCAACAAATGGAAAACTTCTTTATTATTAAGTTTAGTAAAAAAAGTTATTCTTCATGAAAACCGAGAATGCAAATATCAGACATCAAATTATTTCAGTCGTGAAGCCTCGGGATATGATCTTGGTTCCTGGGTAATACTGCCATGGTGTATAAATAACTATTTTCATTTGTTGTCAACCATTTCAGACATACTGTATGTATTAGTGGATTTTACCCTGTATACTGTACCTTTTGGCCGCAAATTTGGCAAGCGTGATCTGCCGAGATGTCGACGTTGTCGCTGTGATTCTTTCTGATGTGTCTTCTGAGACATTCTTTCGCCGTGCTGCGATAAGTGCAATACTCGCACACGAACCAAACGGCCTTCGTGTGCATCGTGTTGATGTGCTAAACAATAATAATAACATTTACTGATCCCAAGAAACAAACATATCTTTATGGAGGGACAAAAGAAAAGATAGATAAATAAACAAATCAATTCTATATACAGGCTGTCCTATAAGTCATGGATCAAAAGAAGTGGGGTAGTAGGGAAGGTCATTTCCAATCAGGAGAAATACATGAAAATATGCATGTTTATATTTCACAATACGCTCATTTCATTTGAAATAATTTCAGCAGTGCAGTGTTGCCGCTTCTATCAAAAAGTAGTAACAACTTTGTTATTTCAAATAGAATACCATGTATTTCATTGCATTTTTAGAATGAAGAGCTGATTTCATTGATACATCAAACTTAGGGTCTATCAAAAATGATTACAGAGATATAGGGTGTTCAAAATCGAGATTTTTCAACTTTAGGATTTATTTGTGTTGAAACTATTCATCATCGGCCAAAACGACTTTCATGTCCCTATCTCAATTTATGATTCACTATCTATTGGTATGTAATGGGAACAGATACAGGGTGATCAGATTTCTGAATCTTAAACCACCCTGTATTCGTTTCAATTGAATCAAAAGTTGCCGTTTTGACCAATAAAGAATAGTTTCGACACAAAAAAATCCTCAAGTTGAAACATCTCGATTTTGAACACCCTATATCTCAGTAATCATTCTTGCTAGACCCCAAGTGTGATGAATCGATGAAATCAGATTTTCAGGGAGAATATGAAAATTCAATGGAATACAGGGTGTTCCATTTAAAATAAGGAAGTTAATAATAATTCCGGAATGACTTAAAAAGTGGCAACATTGACGATAACATTTTTAAATCCACCTCGTTTTGGAATCACCCTGTTCATATATTCAAAAAAATCTAACAAAAGGTTACCAAGATATTCACCTAGTTCCATACTTTTGCTCAACCCTGTAGATGAAATACTGCATCTTTCATATTTCAAGTTTTTTCCTTCACCTCGTACAGTTAGTATGTTCAAAATATACAGGGTGGCATTGAAATAAGTGCAAATATTTCAAACACTGAGAAAGCTGGAGATGTACTATCAAATGGCAGTAAAAAAAAATTTGGGATCAAAATAAAATTTGAGGTTAGACCACTTTCTCCACCCAAAGTTCTACACTGTAGCAAATCTGACGTGTCACCTATGTTCGAATTTCCATGCGGTAGGCACAATCACGTGGAGTTCAATCATTTAAATTGTTTCAAAGTGATGTACTCGATTTTTCTCTCGTTTTTTATTCAATTTTTGGGATGAAATTTCTTGTTAATTAGAAGAATGAGAAAAAATCTGATATCTTGGGAATATTCCTTAGACTGTATCACATTAATGTGCTGAATATGTGCACTTATTTCAAAAACACCTTGTATAGACACATGTCAAAATTGAAAAACTAGTTCCTTATACACCAAGGTAGTAGAAAATATCAGTATTTTCCATTGACCAAGATGATATCCCGAGGCTTCAGCCGAGAGGGTATAAGGTCCCATAGTTATAATATTCCTTACTACCAAGGCGTAAATTTTCATTTTTTTTTTCACCACTAGCAATACATCATTTTAGTTCTGTGAAACTGAAATATGATCCTATTGTCACTATGAAAGCACTTCTTTTCACTTCTAATTGAAATCTAGTAGCCATTACCATGACAGCATATGACAAGTTGTCATTGATAAATACTTACTAGACTCGAGTGCCATTTTTATGAATCTCGCATCAGAACATTCAATTCGGGTCAATTATAACAGAGGTTGCTATGTCTTTATTGGGTAGTTTTATGAAATGAAAAAAACTATCTTGGTGATAAAACACATAGTGGGTTTTATAGCTAGCGGTGGAAAAAAATATTACCTTGCTAAGTGCATATGGGCGATTTGTGACGTGCAAACAGTGCGGGCACTTCAACAGGTTGTTGCTTCTGTTCCTGCACTTTTTTTTGTGCTCTATGAACAGCGCCTCAGACGTCGTCAGATACATACAGCTGCAATTGTAGATTTTGTTGATGTCGTCATATTTTTCGGAAAATTTGAAGGACTGGTCACTGTCTGTTGGCTCTTCTTCCCTAGAAATAAGAAATATTCTTATTACTAGATGACCAGGCAAACGTTGTTTTGCTATATACATTATTTCTAGAAATTTTTTTTTAGTTATATTTTTAACAACACACTTTTATACTTTATTTTCAACTTTTTTTCAGTTTGACTAAACATGAAAGCGTGTTTTCTTAGTTTTTCAAACTACAATTTATTTTCTACTTCTTTTTAGTTTGGCTATCTATAAAATTATAGTCCATTAGTTTTTCAGAACACTATTTATTACAAAGCTCGTTTGACATATTAAATCCGTAATCTTGAATTTTCTGGTTATGGCCGAGGTTATGGCGGAGGAATCATAATCTCTGACCCCGAAAACCCCCAGATACAAACTTTGTATAGAATCGGATCATAATTACAAAACTCGTTCATCATATTGGAACCGCCATCTTGAATTTCTCAATTTTGACAAAACAATCATAATTTCTAACTCCAAATATCCCCAGATACCAATTTTGAAAAGAATTGGATCATATTTACAAAGCTCGTTCGCCATATCGCCATCTTGAATTTTGACGAAGGAATCATAGCCTCCGACCCCAAAAACCCTAAGATAGCAATGTTGAATAGAATCGGATCATAATTATAAAATTCGTCCTCCATATTGGATCCGCCATCTTGAATTTTCGAATTTTGAGGGAAGAACTATAATCTCCGACCACAAAAACCAATAGATACCAATTTTGAATAGAATCGGAACATAATTACAGAACTTGTGCACCATAATTGGATCCGCCATATTGAAACCATCAGATACCAATTTTAAATAGAACCGGATCATAATTGATAAACTCGTTCGCCATATTGAATATGCCATCTCAAATTTCCAGAATTTGACGAGAACCATATAATCTCCGAACCCGAAAACCTCCAGATACCAATTTTGAACAGAAATCGATCATAATTACAAAATTCGTCCGTCATCTTGAATTTTCAAATTTTGGGAAAAGAATCATAATCTCCGACCCAAAAAAACTCCAGATTCAAATTTTGAATAGAATCGGAACATTATTCTCCGACCCCGTAAACCCTCAGATACAAAAAATGTTAAATAGAATCGGATCATGATTGATAAACTCGTTCGCCATATTGGATCTGCCATCTTGAATTTTCAAAATTTGACTGATATTTCAAATAGAACACCCTGTATTTTAGCGCAATTTTAGATTCTCCCTGAAGAGCTGATTTTATCGATGTATCACACTTGGGGTCTATTGAAAAAGATTGGGATTTTTTTGTGTGGAAACTATTCATTTTCGGTCTAAACGGCTCTTCAGGATGAGCGTTTTTTTTTAATAATATGGTAAACGGTGTGTCGCCACCACAAATGTTCCTTCACCAAATATTCAAATGTTTGTTTTTTCGAAAATGTTCACAAAAAAATTATGAGGCCTATTAAAACAAATAGAAGAGCTCAAGTTATTATTGGACTAAACAGTCTTGCGTTTTCAACTCCCTATGTGGATTTCTACACGCGATTTTTATTATACATCAACATTGAAGATATCATACTTCTTGTTCCTTGTTTCTTCCTTGGATTTCCTTGGAATTCCCTGGAATTCCTTGGGTGAAGTGCGGTATATTCCTGGTCTTCAAACAAATGGAATTCCTTGGATTTCCTTGAAATTCCTTGGATTTCCTTGGAATTCCTAGGATTTCCTTGGAATTCCTTGGATCTCCTTGGAATTCTCTGGATTTCCTTAAAATTCTTTGGGTGAAGTGCGGTATAATTCTAGTGTACAAATAACTGGAATTCCTTGGATTTTTTTGGATTTTCTTGGATTTCCTTGAAATTCCTTGGAATTCGTTGAATTTCCAAAACTTCAAAATGTCCCTTTACCAAATATTCAAATGTTCGTTTTTCGAAAATTTTCAGAAATAAAATTATGAGGCCTATTAAAACAACTCCCTATGTGGATATCTACATGCAATTTTCATTATACATCAACATTGAAGATATTATACTTCTTCTTCCTTGGAATTCCAAGGATTTTCTTGAAATTCCTTTAAATCCCCTGGAATTCCTTAGGTGAAGTGCGGTATATTCTTGGTTTTCAAACAAATGGAATTCCTTGGATTTCCTTAGAATTCCTTGGATTTCCTGTGATATCCTTGGAATTCCTAGAATTTTCTTGAAACTCCTTGGAATTCCTTGGATCTCCTTGGATTTCCTTGGAATTCTCTGGAATTCCTTGGTTCTCTGGAATTCCTTGGGTGAAGTGCGGTAGATTCCTGGTCTTCAACAAATGGAATTCCTTGGATATCCTCACAATTCCTTGGATCCCCTTGGATTTCCTTGAATTTCCTTGGAATTCTCTGGATTTCCTTGAATTTCCTTGAAATCCCTTGAATTTCCTTGGAAACCCTTGAATATCCTTGAAATTCCTTGGATTTCCTTGGATTTTCTTAGAATTCCTTGGATTTCCTTGGATTTTCTTAGATTTCCTTGGATTTCCTTGGAATTCTTGGATTCCCTTGAATTTCCAGGGAATTCCTTGTGTGAAGTACCGTATAATTCTGGTGTACAAACAACTGGAATTCCGTGTAATTCCTTCAAAATTCCTTGGAATTCCTTGTGAAATTGAAGTTTGGTGTACACAATTTCGACGGCGGTTAACCCCTCGGAAGAAGCCAAATGAAATAAAAAGAAGAATTCCTATCAGTTCCATCAAGCTTGACCTTACGCAAGGTTGGTAGAATTGATGATTATTTCCTTCACAAAAAATATTAACAAATCTACGAGCAAATCTACCAACCTTGGACCTTACATCTCAGTAGCACGATCTGATGGACAATTCTTGCATTTTTAACTCCCAATGTGGACTTTTACTTGCAATGTTTATATTAACAGTGAAGAAGATATCATAGGAAGTAACCAAATGAAATTAAAAATAAATAGTGGTTTGAAGAACTAAAAAAAAAGCTTATATAGCAGAACTGCAAAAAGAAAATAAATGGTAGTTTAGCAAACTAAAAAAATACCCCCTAATATATCAGTTATTAATGATGTGATTTTCTTGAAATTTGGTAGTGATTGTATAATAGAACAATGAATTATTCAGCAGAGTGAACAGTTTCATTCATCAATTGCATGTGACATTGAGGAGTACAAAAAAGGCCTTTATTTGGGAAAAGGATATTAGGGCTCATTTAAGATAACTTTTTCTATCAGATTCAGATTGAGCATCCTTAAAAACCCCCCAATTCATATTTTCAAGATCACAAGAGCTAAGAAAAAAATATTTAAAAATCCTGCTTTTCATGAGTACCCTTTAAAATCTCAGTTACTAATGATGTGAATTTCTTGAAATTTTGATGGTGATTGTATATTAGAAAAATAACATACATAAGACTTGAAAGAACATGAAAAGATCATAACATGCAACATACTGATATTAAATACTCACATATGGGAAATCTCTGGTATTTCCATTTCCTCCTGCCTATTTTCCTTCTCACTAGAATCCTCATTCTTGTCCTCCACCCCATCTTTACTAGCTTCCAGGGGAATAGTTATCTGACTTCTAGGAATCTTCACAACCAGCCTCAATTTAGATTCAATAGGACTTACATAAGAATTCTCTGAACCCAAATCCTTCTTAGCTGCAACCAATTCTTCCCTTTGGCATTCCTCAGAAGAGGTTATATTAGCTTGTTGCAATTGAACCTCACTTTCCTGGGAAGCAACCAGCTCTGAACAAGCTGCAAAAGGAGACTCCTGCATAGCAAACACATTTCCTGGTTCTGAAATTGGGTGTAAAGGAGGAGGTTCAATATAATTGCTAAGGAAATGTCTTGGGAAGAATGAGAGTTGTGGCATATCACCAATGGGCGGTGGAGTGTTTGAGGGAACAAGGAAATGTGGGCGTACACTGTGTTCATTGTAACTCTCCAGAGCTGCTCTCATTGCCATTATACGATCTTGTTGCTCCTTGTGAAACCTATTTATTTGTATCAAATCTTTCACTACACAGTTCAAGTTCACATGGCTGTATTCTTCCAAATTGTTCCTTTGAATGTAAGAACGAATGATACTCTCAGTGTTTATACATCTATTCTTGAAATTGTACAGATTGACTATAACTTGTATACAGGGCAGGCACATAATAGGGTCAGAAGAAACGTATATATCCTGCAAAATAACATAGGAAATTTGAATAGAACAAGGGGCAATTGAAAGAGACTTACCATCTCTGGAACACAACACATAATCATGTCTTTCAAACTACCATTGGGATCTTCGATGTGACCATAGCTTTGGGCTTTATATTCAACGATACGTAGGCAAGCTCTACAAACGAGTTGGGCTTCAATGTTATCTCCCAAATCATCCATGATTATTCTAGTTATTGAAACTTGTAATCTTGTAAAATTTGAAGACAGAAGGGAGTATGAACAAGAGTGAAGAAACAAAACAACAATCAATTTTCAAAGATAACCTAAAATTTTGACATACGGTGTCACTAGGATGGTGTCACTCTCATGACAGTTGAGATTACGGTCCATAGTCATTTGGTTCCTAGACTCTAGTGTCTTCTGCCTTTGAAGGACTTTGGTATCAATATAAACTGCTCCACAAATGAAATGAGAGACTGTTGAAAATGTCTGGTGAAGCGATTTTTCATTTGTTTCGAGATTCTGATTGTTTCATTGTTAAGTTCATCATGTTCTCCTTATTTTTTTCCACTGTTTCGTGAAAATGAAATGAAGGAGTGTGATAAAAATTGATTCGCTCGTTCGAAAAATATGCATGACGCTTATAAATTACAACAAGATGGGTTTGACGAAAAATTAGGCAAATTGGATTAATTTTACTCGAAAGGTTTAACAATGTTAGAGAAAGTTCAACTACAAGTCACACATACGTGTGTATTTTGATCTATGCACATACACAGTCTCGGACACAGTATATCTAGCATCACCTGGCCTTTAAACAAGGGCGGATCCAGGGAGGGGTTATGGGGGTCATGACCCCCTCCCCCTGGCACCATGTGAAACGGTGATTTTTCTGTGAACTTTCTGCCTAATTCACAAAAACAAATGGATAGTGGCCATACCTATACACGACATGTTGCGCACACAAGGCTGTAATTAATCAATAATTGTATTCCTCATGATTATGTAATAATAATTTTTTTTTCGCATATAGTTTGTTTTCTGATAATTGGTAAACTATTCGTGAGGTGATTCCTGAAGTATTTATATTGTTGAATGTTCCTCTGAACTTTTGTCGAAAAATGATTCCTAACCGAAAACCCTAGAAATAGTAGGTACAATTAACCCTGGAGAAGGTTTTTCCTCAATATATACGAGGTCGGTTGAATTAGGGCAAAGTAGCGCATTTTCATGCTGAATATTCATAGAGAATTCGATGTGTCATTTTCAGTATTCGAATTATTTAAAAAAAAAGCGATAGATGTGATAGACGTCATTTGACGTCATTTAGACGTAACATCTGCACCAATCATGTTATTTTATTTCGAAGGAATTACTCCATGAACTACCCATCCAGGACTCATGATTCAAACACTTATCAAAATTACCTCCTAAGGGATTCACGTATACCCGACATGGATAAAACTAAGTGGTAATAGTATATATTACATAACAAGAGTTGTAAAACGCATATTACGCACGAAGTGGAGAGAGTTACACACGATGCCGCATAGCGGCGAGTGTGTAACTCCACAAGTGCGTAATTGCTTTACAACTCGAGAATTGTACTATACTTTTTCTACGACTACACTATATTTTCTTCCGGAGAGTGCAGATATTGTATTAAGACACAAATAATGAATACCAATATAAAACGTCTCTTGTTACCAAGCCAGCTGCATGAAACGTTACAAATCACGATTCTTGTGTTTGTTTATTGATACATTGCATACCGAGACATTTTCCTCAATTCGAACTGAAATGGAGCCGTTTTTCATATCTAAACAGCTTTGTCAATAGGTAGCCAAAAACACATTGTATACAAATTAACATTCATAATGGTTATTTATTATAGTAACAGTGCAGCACGAGAGATTCTGTAATCGTTATTGAAAATAATTGAAAAAGTTCTCCAAATGCGCTCTGAACTATATACCGAGATACCACCATTTCTCGGTATTAGTATAGATATTTTATGAATATAATATCGAAGATGGATCTCTTTTAATAATTCCTGTTATTTGAAGACAAACGAATTCATCAATTCAATTTGAGTATGTATGTTATTTGAAAAATTACCTTCAACAGGAGCATTCTGCAGAAAGTAATTGATCTGTTCAGCATTAAGTATTTTTGATTTTTTACTTCGGAATCCATCCTTCCCTTTTGAGGAAATGGGATATGTTGCTATATTAATATTGTGATTGAAATTTAGTGTTGATCGTAACATGGAATATATCGACCAGAGTGATGATGATTTCATGAAATTTGGTAATTCTTGAAAATATACTAAAAGGATATTTTCCGAAAATGACACGGTATTATTTCTAATTCTCCAGTCCAGGAATTTTTGATGTGCTATTTCGTATCACTTACGAGACTTAGTGGGTAGCAACTCATTTTTTAACATTCTAGCTTCATTGAGGATTCTCAATAGAAAATAATCATATTTTCAAAAAATATAACATTCCTGATGCTTTCTGTTTAAGTGGATAGCTGGATTGATTAATAAAAAGATAAGTACCTACCCACCTAGCTAGTGACATTAATGAAATTGTTGATTGTTATTGACACATCGCCTAAGCAACAAAACAAAGTAATCAATCAACATACCTATGAAAACCGTGCGATCGTTCTCTTTACGCACACGTGTGTAAGGAGAAGCTTACTGCCATTGTTTTGTGTACAATATCCATCACTTACAGTAGTAGTCGTACGAAAAATATTATGTAGAACTAATATTAATAAAAAACACCCTGATAAAGATAACTTGGAAACAGATACGAAAAATTCAAGAATTTATCATATTTATACCAATACGGTATACGGTTAAGCCAGGTGCTTTCATGTTTCATATTGGCGCGCCACGTCAAGACATATAGATGCTTATGATTGGTTAATCCGTGCTCCGTGGCTTCGTATGTCTCTTCTCTTCTTGTGTAGCACACAGTTCGTCGTGATTTTACGCATGCGTGATCAAGTTCATAGAGTGTTGTAATGACGGATTTGTGATTTTGGGTCATATGGGAAACAATGATACTATGGAAAAGTGCGGGGTTCGGAAAAATATATTGCAGTTTCATGGAGTTGAAATGTTTGTGGGAATACAATATTCCGAGGAAAGGTATTGCACTCGATCAGTAGAAGTGGTTGACGCCATGATGCCTCGTAAGGCTGCGAAGTGTGGTGGTCGCCTTTCAAACAGCAAGACTTTTTCAACAGGTCAATTGAGAAAGCGAAGTCTACAAATGAAACTTTGAAGTTGTTTGATGAAGTGAGGTCGTTTTTTGGAGAAGGTAGGTAATCTGTAAATACCTTGAATCGTAGGTACAAGATTAATTTTAAGTTATTAGGTTGAGATTCCTTTGAAACCTGACATCTTCGTTTATGTCTATTTATCCAGATGAAGAATACCCTATGTTTAATTATGTAAACAAATAAAACATTCCAACAACTATTGTGTCCAGATCATTTGAACTGTTTTGCCAACCATCAAGGAATAGAATCATGGGAAAGTGTTTTCGAGTTTCACAGTTTCTTGGTGATGTCGAAACCTGGACCTGATGCTTGGTAACTATTCGACGTGTAAACGACGTCGCTAAATGACGTTTTAACGACGTCGCTAAATGACGTCGTTTCGCTGTGACATATTGACGTCACATTTACGCCTCTTTCACGTCGATAATTTGGTCATCTTGGCGTAATTGGTGACGCGTATATGACGTGAAATTAACGTGTTAATGCTAGCTGGGATGGCGCCCATAAGAGAAAACAAAGTTGTGTGTTGTAACTTTGGCATCAAGAACGTCATGAAGAATACAATGACAGATTCAGATTCCTTGTAAAAATGTGCCTTAAGAATGTCCCAGCCAGGAAGGTCTTTTTTGGTTTCCGCTTGAAAAAATTAAAACGAGAATTGAGAATTTTCTTTTTCTTTGAATAATTCAAAAACTAGAAATGAAACATAACATTTTCTTGCAGATAAATGTTCAGCATCAATATGCGCAACTTTGCTCAAATGTAACCGACCTCGTATCTCTTATAATAACTGAGATCCCCATGGTGGACACCCTCTATATATGCACACTTTTTGAGAATAATGAGTGGAATTGCATCAGGACCATTAATCGTTTTGAGACCGAGCAAAATGCGTCTGATAGTGCGTTGACGAATGACAATATCGGGCATTCCGCTTCCAACGGTTGGAATGTCTGGCGGCACCCTTTCCTGGGAATCGAAGGTGGAGTTTGCTGCAAACATCTCTGCAAAAATGTTCGCTTTCTCCTGCGATGTCGTTGCTGAAGTGCCGTCGTCTTTGGAGAGTGGTGGGAATGAACTATTAGTATAAAATTCCATCCGACTGCTATAGCGAGGGACCAAAACGAACGGGAGCCATTGGGACAATCTATGAGTTTTGATCTTATTTTGGAATTGTATGATTCTTCAGATGAATACATTGTTTATTGGCTGCAGTTATCCATTGCTTCAACATATATATGCTCTAGTCACGAGGTTTGGGTCCTTGCGCCAGTGATAGTAGACAACTCTAGAACAGTTCTTATTGAACCAGGGTTTCGAAGTTGATGATCTTTTCGTAGAATGAGGTATGTATGTGTCCATTCCAAGCGTGGTCATCTCGGATATTTCCGCGGCACACTATGTAGGATTCTCATCAGAATCAAAGCATATTATATGCCAAGGAAACTCGGAAAAAAAACATGCGGAGACCGCATAACATCAAACTTAGTTGGTTCCAAAAGTCTATTCTCGATGACATGAGAGATTCGTTTCAGAATAGAGGCAGAAACCTCTCTTGAATCTGAAGCGTGAGTGGAGTTCGTACCCAGGACAGAGCATATAGGTCGTAATGGTGATTGAATTGACCTGTGTCTCAGTCAGAGCCAATATGTCTGGCCTACGGCTCTTGCTGCAAACTTAATTCTCGTGGAAAATGCAACTTTCATTGCCTGCTCGTTAAACAATAAAATCTTGCTCATAATACTCAAATATGAGATATACTATAAGTATTCTGTTAGGGGGTCTGTTAGGGGTCTATGTATATTCCACTTACTCGCAAGGTATATGGTTGTTTGAACAATCTACTAATACACCTTTGTACTTTTGTCACTAGATATGGCTCAAAGGACTAGATCGTTCTCCTACCCTTCGGGGCATTTGATTCGGTGTTATTCATTAGGTGTTATTCGAGAAAATCGTACCATGGTTTACGGTGGTTTATGTTAGATATAGGAAATGAAACGAACAATATTTTACTCGAACCTTTATGTAGGTACCTGTATTACAAATTAATCCTTCATTGAATAGGTACACTTTTCTCTTCCTCATTCTCCTCTCCAGATGAGGCTTGATCCTCCATGATGTTCAGTATCTCGGTTTGCATCTCGTTGTCATTCACGTTGGTTTCTCTGAGAACCGTCATCATCTGAGGCGAGTATTGCTCAACCTTGTCCAGCAACGTTTCCGGATACCCAGGCGAGTAATACCTAGTGTTGCAAAATATCAGGAAATTTATTGTAATCATGAAATTCTACTTGATATCAGCGAGACAAAGCTGAATAATACATTATTTATTCGGACTATACTAAGCTTGAATCTGAAAAAGAGACGTAGAAGAGTTGGCTGAGCATGCGCAATGCATGCGCCATACGCCATACGTCATTCTTAATTTTTGTCGCAAGTCATTTGTCCACTCCATTCCCACCAAATTTCATTTAAAATCAAAAAATTAGACGGAATCGTACTTATATCGTGCCAAAAGTGTAGAAAGCGTTTGATAAAATGATATTATTTTATCAAATACTTTGTTTTAACCTCACAATTTCTCTGATAAAACTATTGATAGTGACTATCGATATATCGATTATTCTTTTGAACACTATCGGAAACTATAGATAAGCAAAACAATCGATGTGTAGTCAACACTATTGGTAACTGCACTCTACTAGCGAATTCCATTGAAATGAATATAACTGGTGGTTTTTTTGCACCCAATGTTATATGTTTCCTTCTTTCTCACATCTGTTAAAGAGAGGTAAATACCGGGTGACACAGAACGTATGTAGCAGAGCCTCTGTAATTTCTTTTATTCAAAGAGATGACATTTTGAAATTCACAGGAGCTACATAATTAATATGAAAGCGCTCTTTATGAACTTAACGACAAATTTTTTCAACCACTTGTTTGATCGGAAGTGACCCTAACTTTTTTTCTAATGTTATTCTCTTTTTGTGTTTCAGTCTATCTTAAATACTGTCTGTAGGTTAATCGAGGAGGTGGTATATTCATTATTCCAAATTTTTTGGGATTTTCTCTCCTCGTTTCTATAAAATAAAAATATGAATATTATTTCAATATACGTGTAGTAAGGACAAATCAGATGATTTGCCCCAAAATGTCAATGCGTTTAAAGAATTTTCCTATCAGAGAGCCTAAAAGAAAAATTCACTAGCCTGTCAGTGACAATTTGTATTGAAAAAATTTTTGGAGAAGGGAAATAAAGGTATATAGAAAAAATATCAAATTTTCACTTATCTTTGGACGTTTCGGGACCGGTTCTGCTCCCGTTTTCAACATGAGAAGAGATTATTTCAATAGCGAAGTCGTATAATGTCTTGAAGCTTTTCAGTTTTCGATGATAATTGGTGACGTTGGCAATCAAATGAGTTACAGGATGTGTAGCAATCTACCATGGTCAAAGTTATTCTTTCAATTAAATGACCAAAGGTGTCGCCGTGATTCACTTTTACATCAAATTCAACAATGTGTGTCGCCGTATAGTTTTTTGCGCTGTTCAGACTTTTTGTAAAATTTCCTTCGAAGCTTCTATCTGCGTTCGATCAGTAAAAGATAAAGCTAACAGCCTTGTGGTTTTGAGAGTGATCATGGATGATATACCATCTAGGAGATATTCGTTTGCCTGGTGTTAGGTAAGTGATCTTGCCAGGAATTTAACTTGTAAATATAATTATCATCCTGAACAATTTGAGTAATTATGATTCATTCTTTTAGTTTGTTCGATACTCGACTTTGATAGTTGTTAGCCATCCGTTAATTATAAAAGAATTATACCCAGATCAAGATTTGTGTCTGATTTCCTATATATCTGCAAGAACCATAAAATCACCCTGTTACAGATGTTTTCATTAATTGATCTTGAATTTACCATTTTCATGTTCAGAGTTATTGGAAAAGAAGATAACAACCAGAAGAGAAAAATCAAGGAATCTGCTTGCATTCTCCTGAACGAAGACAATAGCATTTCTTCTTGTTCAGTTGATATAGACAGAACATGGTATTCAGACTAAATTCTGAACATGAAAATGGTAAATTCAAGATCAATCAATGAAAACATCCTGTAACTCATTTGATTGCCAACGTCACCAATTGTCATCGAAAACTGAAAAGCTTCAAGACATTATACGACTTCGCTATTGAAATAATCTCTTCTCATGTTGAAAACGGGAGCAGAACCGGTCCCGAAACGTCCAAAGATAAGTGAAAATTTGATATTTTTTCTATATACCTTTATTTCCCTTCTCCAAAAATTTTTTCAATACAAATTGTCACTGACAAGCTAGTGAATTTTTCTTTTAGGCTCTCTGATAGGAAAATTCTTTAAACGCAGTCACATTTTGGGGCAAATCATCTGATTTGTCCTTACTACACGTATATTGAAATAATATTCATATTTTTATTTTATAGAAACGAGGAGAGAAAATCCCAAAAAATTTGGAATAATAAGTGGCATATGTTTCTCAATTCGCACAAGAAGTTGTCTGTGACGTGAATGGAAATTTTCCACCCTAATTTGTATGTTTGAAAATAAAAATTTTGGAAAACGCTCGAATACGTCGATATTTGATTTGAGGGGGAACTAATTTTCAGAGGTTTTCACCCCCGTATCTTTAACCCTTTATCTGGGGGGTGACAACCCTCAAAATTTGAATAGGGGGAACGGGTCGTGCCATACCTCGTTGTGAAGGTCTCATTGAGTTCTTCATGGCCCTATAATTTTGCCTTATTATTTTCATCGATAACGAAATGACAGGTTGTGAAAATATTGGTAAGAGACTATCGTCTTCGTAATAAAAATACCAAATAATTAAAGTTTCAAGTTCAATAATTAGGTGTACACTACAAAGTTATCGTACAAATTGTTCGAAATGTCCTCCATTAACATTCATGCAATAATAAAATCGATGCTCTATCGCGTCTCTAACATTCTGCAACATAGAAAAGCCGGCTGTGTTTTATAAACGGTAGACTTCAAATTGCCCCAGAGAAAGAAGTCAAGAGGAGAAAGATCAGGAGACCTTGCAGGCCACGACTCGATAGATCCTCTACGGCCAATCCAATGTCCTCTAAAATTTTCGTCTAGAAAGTTCCGAACGGGTGCTGCAAAATGTGATGGAGCTCCATCTTGTTGGAAAAAAAATTATTGTGTGTCAAGTTGTTATCTTCGGCAATGACCTCCCTTATTCTAGGAAAAATAGTTTCTTGGAGCAAAGTAAGATACATCTGCCCCGTCAGATTGCCTTGCAAAAAGAATGGCCCAATGATGCGCTTTCCTAAAATACCTGCCCAGACATTCAACTTTTCAGGATGTTGAGTATGGATCTCTCTAAATAAATGTGGGTTTGAATCGCTCCAGTATCGACAATTGTGTCGATTGACCAATCCATTTAGAAAAAAGGAACATTCATCTGGAAAGCAGATATTATACAGGAAATTTGGATTGCCAATACGGCGTTCACTCATTTCTTCTACAAATTGTAACCGTCGATCATAATCATCCTCATTAAGTTCGTGAAGCAGTTTTATCTTGTAGGGGTAAAATTTGTGGGCCTTCAAAATTCTTCTAACGCTTGTTCGTGAAACACCAGAAACTTCGGCCAATTGCCTCGTACTCAATGTGTTATCCATTGTAATGTGCCCTAAAACAGCGATTTGCATGGCTTCATTGCTAACGACACGAACCGAATAATCTTTTTGGTTCTGCACTGTTCCAGTTTCCAAAAACTTCTCCATCAGTTGTCTAACGTAAATATGTGAAACATTTCCATCCCACATTGAGATGCTTGGTTGAATAGAAAATTTGAAGACGAATGAGATGAGATGGACTGAAAAAAAGACGGGGTGACATGTGAAAAAAAGTTTGGGTAACTTTATGTCAAACAGCGTGGTTGAAAAAAACTGTCGTTGAGTTCATAAAAAAAATGGTCTAATCCATCATTCGGTTTCCCCCTCTTACGAGCAACCCTCAGAAGTCTTCAAGAGACTTGTGCGAGCAAGGAATGAGCGAGTCGGTTAGTACCTCAGATCAGGAGCGTCCGGAGGGGGAGGCAAGGGGGGGGCGCTCGCCTCTCCTTGCCTCCCATTACATTAATTGCATTATTCAATCCCTATTCTGATCAGCGCTTATTATAGTGAGTTTCTGAGACTTTGTTTAATGAGTATTCATCGACATCTTATAGATATATAAAGAGTTGGTTTTATCAACGAAGTTATTGATAAACTTGCTCAGGACTCTATAAGAATGCCATTTTTGTCCGAACAAGATTATGATTATCATCACGTGCAATTTTTTATTGTAATTTTGGCTGTAAACAGAATACCTATGTGATGTTAATCCAATTATTATTCTTTTTTTTATTCCATGTTTCATGTAGAATAATTGTAGATTATATATCGAGAGAGTAAAGTGCATGATTTTTCAAGAGGTGGTTTTGTAGCCAGAGGGTGCTACTTACAATGTACTGAGGGAAGAAAGAACTCACTTCCTAGGTATATATACCATTTTTGCACGACTCGACGATTTAAATTGAAAGTATCTTATGATAAAATCAATTATGGTCAATATGATAATGAAAATCTGAACAGAATAATCACAAAATGAAGTTTGATTATCATGACTACCGATAAAGAAGAGTAGCCATATTGCTTTTTGTGAACATCGACAAAGTGTGGTAGCATTTTTTTTTATCGCTTGGTGATTTATTGCCAGAAAAACCCCGGAATTTTTTTTAGCCTAGAGAGTGCCTAGTCTGTATACCCTGTATTTCCGCTTCTGTGGGTGTAAAATCGCTTATAGGTCGTGCACGATATGTACTAAATAATGTACATTATGTATTGTGACTTGCCCCTCTCTGAGATTATTTCTGCGGACGCCCCTGCCTTAGATGTTACAGTCAGTGCAGAAATTATTTAGTGAGCTGTTGTGATAATTCTGCGAATAGAAATGTGTCTTTTGATTTCAAAGATGTTATGCAACATTGTGACGATTTTTTCAAAGAATTTTCTCTAGAGCAGTGAAAATCTCGTTGCAAAAGAGCAAAAAAATTTGAGGACGATTTCATGACGAATGAACCCATGATGGACGATGCCCATGATAGACATTATCGTAGATGATCTGGTTAATGATTCAAATGATGAGGATAGCGACACTGAATCAGGACAGGAAGATGAAGATTGACTACCTGACGAAAACCAATCTGAGAATGTGTCAACAGTGAGCGAAAAGTC